TTGTCTCTGGACTGTTGACAACTCATATTTTTTCAGGTGTCTATGTATATAAAAATTTACACTTTTATTTTCCAGATTTTTTTGTCAGCATATTACCTTTTTTATTTCAATCATCCATATTTATCATGTTTAGTTTTTATTGATACTTTCCATATAATATGTTTTTTCAAATTAAGGCAAAACCTTCCTAAATTTATTAAAGAGTTTATATTTGAGCAGTTCTTGTTTGAATTTTTTTTTATATACGAAACAAGATAGTTATTAGCTTACAGTATAATAATAATAATATACCCCAAATATGTTATATAATATATATTGTTTTTGGAGGCTGCTGCTCATTTTTGAATTATGGGTTTATTTTGAGAGAGAAATAGATTAGGGTTTATTAGGGGTAAAAATCATATGGGAGGTGACTTAAATTTTGGTTTTTTACTTATTTATTTATTAAAATATATGAACATGGTAGCTTGTTAATTTTCACACGGACTCATCTACTATTTTGACAAATTAGATAATTATACCATTAAAAATATATATTATATAATCATATATCTTTATTATAAAAAGTCAGAAAAAAATAAATTTGGTAGAGTAATTTTGAAATTTTGATTACAAAAGGGAGGGGCTGGTATTAATTGTGATACTATGAGATGAAATTGTTTAGGTTGGATCAAGAGATATAGATTTGAAATCCAAATATGTAAAAAAAAATCGATGGAAATCAAGCTAACCAAAAGGTCATGGTTCGAACCTACATGTTGTACTAAAAAAAATTATTTAAATAAAAAATAAATTCAATTAATTAAAAATAGTAATAATGGAAGGCGATCTTGAAATCCGAGAATCCAAAGTAATTAGTGTTTTTAAGAGTTTAGAATTGCGAACTTGTATCTATTCTCGGCCTTTTCCGTTGCTTCAAGTTCAAACTCAAAGCCCATCAATGGGCCTTCCCCATATTGATGGAAGCTGCCAGGGCCCAGGCCCAATACAACTTAATTTCAACTCGCAAAACATTATCGTCGCCACGTGTAGGGCTGAAATTCAAGCGGCCTTTTGAAGCGGGACTTCAATCCAAGGGTGTAGAAAATCGCGTCGAATAAAAGTCGAACCCCTCCCCCGACCGAGTATAAAACGCCTCCCACGGCCGTCGTTTGCACTGTGCTTGCCTTCTGCCTTCCATTGCCGACCTCTGTTCGTGTAAAATTCTTCGCAGTTCTCTTCCTCTCTTAATCCTCCGTTGCCGATAGACATTTTCAATGGTAAGGTTTCTTCTCTCTGGTCTCTCGTTCCTCTGGTATTTGGTATTTCAATGCTTCTGCTTATTTTCGGTTCATTGCTTCGTTCAGGCGCTGCCGAATCAGGCAACCGTGGACTACCCTAGTTTCAAGCTAGTAATAGTTGGAGATGGTGGAACAGGTACGGAAATTCATCCATTGCCTTCATTTTCTCGATATCTCCTTCAGCTCAATTTGCCATGTCCGTGTAGTTTTTAGGAACCAAAGCTATGATGCTACGCCGCTGGTTTAACTAAACCTTACCTTCTTTAGTGGAATGCGATTTTTTTTTCTTCCTCCGTTTCTCATGGCGTATAAATTAGACTGGCGATGTTGCAAAATAGGTTTATTGACTAGGCGGTTCGTACTTCATATGTATTGTGTGATTAGAAATTTAGAGATTGTTAGATGTATGTATCTTTTTACAGACGTTTATTTATTGCGATGATGTCGTTTATCTCTAACTGAGGATTGTCTCCTGATCCAGGGAAGACGACCTTTGTTAAACGTCATCTTACTGGAGAGTTCGAGAAGAAATATGAACGTAAGAATGAACTATGTCGTTATTTATTGCTTGACGTTTAATGAATGTATTTGTAAGGTCGAAGTGTTGTTGATATTTGGCCTCACTTGATTATGAATAGCGACGATTGGAGTTGAAGTTCATCCACTGGACTTCTTTACGAACTATGGAAAGATAAGGTTTTATTGCTGGGACACCGCTGGTCAGGAGAAGTTTGGTGGACTTAGAGATGGTTACTAGTAAGTTTTTATTTCTATAAGTATTCTGGTATTTTAGTAGTATATATTATTGGAGTGGTAATTATCATTGTGGCTGACATCTATTGGATTTTCTAATACGTGCATGCACCTATACGTGTAATCATGTAAAAATCTTTTTTGTCCCCATGTAGTGATTGGTTGGACTTTCTATAATAAAGTTTCATGTTTTAAAGCTTTTGTGATAGTCTTCAGGAATGTGTCCTCCAGATGAGGGATTTGATTACTGAATGTATCAAGTTGAAAGCTTATTAGTGCTTGTTTTTGGTCTTGTTTTCCCTGATGGAATTGCATTACAGTCTATTCAGTTCTGGTTTAATTAATATCCTGATATGCGATTTGAATTGTGATTATCTAATGATTTTGGCATCTCATCCTTGAGACGTTCATGTTCAACACAAATATCCAGTCTTAACTCTTTGGTAACTTTTTTGGTACTTGTATCAAGTATTTTTAATTTTTTTTTTCATTTCCTTACATGACGAACATAATGAGAGGTAATAGAAAATACTTAATTGTTCTCAATTAATCGATTCAAGTGTTTGGAAGGCATGTTTCTATTATATCCTTTCATATTCTAATTCAATTGTTTAGAAAAAATTCTTTATTAACTTTTGTGAAAAAAGACACTGTTCATATTGTATAATACTAGTGATAATACAAGTATTATTCTTCTGTTTGAGTTTTCAACAGTTGGGTTATACTTCTGTTTGAGTTCTCACAAGCTTTACAAAAGAAAGCATTTCTTATCTCTTATCTTCTTCCATATCGTACTTTAAATATTGATATTATAGGTTGAGATGCATGTTTTCGAACAGTTGCAAAATATACTGAGTAGTTCTCATGTTCATGTTCAATTCTTTTAGGATTTGATGCGGCAGAGTATGTTTGTGACTTCAACTAATTGATTAGTTTTCCATGTCTGTCCCACACCCCTAATCTATTTTGGTATTCTTGTGATTTCAATTAATTTGTTCTTATTTCTTCTGTTGCCTGTTCTGATTAGCTTATTTGTTTGCTCATTACTGTTTTGTTGTGACTTCTTCATTCTTATCTGTTCTGATAAGTTTAGTTCTTTGTTCTTAATCTCCTGTTTTATTTTTTCTAATAAGTGTATCTTTTCTAACTATGCTTGTTTTTTGTATTTTTCAGTATCCATGGGCAGTGTGCCATCATCATGTTTGATGTCACTGCTCGTTTGACATACAAGAACGTCCCAACATGGCACCGTGATCTCTGCAGGTATTGTATTTAAACCTTAAGGTTCTGTACCACGTAAAAACCCGGGGTTTGTTTAAAAAGGGTGTTTGAAATCTGTTTATTTCAAAGAAATTTCAAGCACTTGTCCACTCGGGGCCTTCTTAAAGTGTTGAAAACAATATTTATGATTGGATGAGATTTGTTGGATTCTAGTATCTTTTATGTTGTTATTAACGTGCTGGGCTATATATGTAAATGAATGAAAAAATAATGAGTACATGGAAGCAAAAGTTCAAAATAAATTCTTTCCATTACGCTCATCAATTACTGCGTTATTTTTATATTATGTTGGTCCTAAACTTAGTTGGGATTGTTATGTATTAGGGTTTGCGAGAACATACCCATTGTGTTGTGTGGAAACAAGGTCGATGTGAAAAACAGGCAGGTTAAAGCAAAGCAGGTGACCTTTCACAGGAAGAAAAATCTCCAGTACTATGAAATTTCTGCGAAAAGTAATTACAACTTCGAGAAGCCCTTCTTATACCTTGCCAGAAAGCTTGCTGGGTAAGTTAAGTTGCTAGTGTGTGTTTGACGTAATCTCGATTGGTCTGTCCAGGACTTTATCTTTTATTGGAACTTGCAGGAATACGGAACTTCACTTTGTAGAATCACCTGCCCTTGCTCCTCCTGAAGTTCAAATTGACTTGGCCGCACAAGCAAAGTAAGTAGCTCGATATTGATGTTACCTGATTAACATTGTCTTATAAATTTGCATGACAATGTAACTTAAGGTTATTTGATGTGAGTTTTTGGTGTAATGACTTGGCTCTCAAGGCTATGTTGTTTACCATCTGTCTAGCTTGGGAGTAGCGATCATAGGTTTAATTTCAAGACTCCTACTTGGTTTGGTCCACTGAAATTTGTTAGCATTAACTTAGGGCGATGATTTTTTTTGTGTTTCAGGCACGAAGCAGAGTTGGCAAATGCTCTTGAACAACCTCTTCCTGATGAAGACGACGATGCCTTTGAGTAATGCATTTATACAAGAAGGCAGGCTTTTAGCTCTGGTTTGTAGGGTTTATATGGTGTTCGTGGTCTTCTGGAATTTGGAAAGCTGACCTGACCTACTTAGTTCTTTATTGAGGCCGTCTGTTGATTGTGTAATTCTCTACACGATTTGTCATTGTAGGTTTGTTTTGACGTAATTACTGTTATCGATTAAAATTTTGGTAAATCAATACCATTTGCGGTCTCTCTTGTTTATCTCTCTTGTTTAAACGTTATCTATATCTATAATTTATATATACGAATTAGGGAGAAGCTTTATTTTTCTATTTAGAAAGAGAGAAAATTAGAGGAATTGAGAGGAATACATTTATATTTGAGTGACGTAATTGTCCTCGAGGTAAAAGTATTAACATAATAAATTTCACGCCTATTTACTAGATATGAAAGTGTGCATAAGTTTTCATTTAATGCTTAATTTATCCTTCAATAATTAGAACAATCAATCTTAAAATCTTTGGTGTTCCATTTTACGTATAATTTGTCTTACTAAATTTTAAAAATAATTAACAATTACGCACTAAAAAATTTATCAAATTATAAAAAATAAAAAAGAAATCACTATTTTGTTCTTTCTAACAAATATAAATATTTGATAGATGCTAAACCTTTTTTAAGTAAAATTAACATTAATATATGATAAAATAAAATTGAGATATGCAAGCTGTTAAAATACAAAAATAAAAAATCACACCATCAAGAATTCTCCATCGGGTAAAATTGTATTTTGAGTACATGATCTAATTATAAAATTAAAATTTTAAAAAAAAATCAGGAGCCAAAGAAAAATGCATACTTCGTTGTCGGTCTCTTCGTTTGAAAACCATGCAGATTATAAGCTGAACTATTGAGGCACTGTTCCATTACGTTGTTGTTTATGTGCTCTTTGGCTGGGAAAAAAAAACTGCATGAAGCATTGTGGAGCACGTAAAGGGTATCAAGGTGGCTCTGCGAAGAGATATCTGAGTAAGGGAGCAACAACAGCAATGCTCAGGCTGTTCCCCAGCAAAGCATAACTGCAAAAACAAAACAAATCCCCATTATAATGTCTTGGGATTAAACACTCCTTGAGTTTATCTTATATATTTGGCAGTTTGAAACAATAGAGAACGCAAAGATTTCAGTTCTCATCCAGTTGTCCACCCATTCCAAAGGGTAGAGCTTGAAATTTTCTTAATTTTTAACTTTTTATATATCTAACCTTTCCATTCTAAAAGTTTTTGGGGTAATCTTAACTATTTTGTATGCACTTTTTGAATGCCCCTTATTCCTTCCTTCGCTCCACTCCTAGTACTGAATCTCATTTCACTCATGAGGCAGTGATGTTTGTCGAAGTCTTGAAATCTGATTACTTATTTTCAGCTTGTTTGAAAACATAAATAAAAACATTATTTTATCATTATTGACCTATAAAATACATGATAAATATTTAAAAATAAAATATAACATAGAATAATTGAATAATTAATTAAAAAATTTTACATTTTCAATTTAAAATTTTAGAGAGTGAAAAACAAGAAAGGATTATTACCAAACATTTTTTTTTAAGAAAGAGTTACGAAATGCAATTTTGTTTTTATTCATTAAAAAAACAAGAAACAAGAAAAAAAAATGGAAAATGAAAAACAAAAAACAACAAATAAGACCGTTGTCAATCAAGCCCTAACAGTTAACGTGTTTAATATTATCGAGAAAGGTGAAAGGTTAACTGTCAAGTGTTGTTGAACCATGCAGGAAAACCTATCGTCCTGACAGTCTAATCATTATGTCTAGAGAGGCCTGCAGAGTTGAACCTATGAAAGAGGAGGAAGGGCGGAGTCCATGAGAGATCGAATATACATACCATTGCCGAAGACCGATATGCTGTGGAAATTGAAAATCTTCTGGAAAGGAATGCAAGTTAGCAACCTAATATTAATAAGAAACAAAATCGAAAAATTAATAAACAGCGTGAGCTTGAGAATGAAATCAAAAGAAGCATCATTTTAACATAAAATCATCAAGGACCTCTCTAGGAGTAAAATATCTGAGCTTCTGTTCTTTCAGAGAATGAGCCTTGCCCATCTTTTCTTCCTGCATTACCAGTCAGTGAGAAAAGTGGGATGATGATGTTACAAGAAAAGTTGCATATTTTTATACTAGATGGACGAATATCACTGCTGACCAACAAAAACGGGGGGAAGTTGCAAAACACTATGGTTTTAAATAAAATTAAAAATCTAAATACAAGGGGAACTATAAAGGATTTGTTTGTTCACTTATTAACATGCAGTATCAAGTTTGAACATGATTCTTTTCCAGGTTCAAAAAATGTCAATTGCCTCAAATCAGAATCGCATATCTTCACAAATTCAGGTGAAAGTCTGTCATACAAAGTACAAACATACATTATTTAACTAACTCAAAAAATATACGGAATTATATTTAGTTATGATATTTGAAACTTAGGATTTAGCTATCTGTTATTAAGAATTTAAGGAAGGTGCAAGATCACATATTCGACACAGTTATGTTAAGGATAAAATTATACCTCAAAAGGTGCCAAAAGTGAACCAGTACCCTTCACATATCGGTAGTAGCTTTTTGTGAAACAGCAGCATCGCCTTGAATCAGGATACACAATATCTAACTCCCTCTTAAGGATCTATTGCAGAGTCTATAACAAGTTCTGTTGACGAGACAAAACAGATCTATAACAATTGAACATAAAATATGTCTGGATACCCATAGCACTGCCCCATCTGTCTATCAAACTGGATGGGACGAGATACTGATCAAAAGATCCTTGCTCATCTGTATCCTTGGTTTTCTCCAATGCACCCTCTCTTTGAATACTACTGGCATCAGAAAAACTAAATTCACTGTGATGGCTGGAATGATCAAGAAACCTACATATTGGTTCACAAGAGAGCAGCAACTTATCAGAAGTCGCTTGTGATCCATGATTTTCAATGGTTTCTATGTCAACATCATTCTCAAGTAATGGGCTTGGAGACCACAGAAGTTGATTATTGTATAATAGCCTGTGAAAGGATAAAGGCCTCCTTTTAGCCTACAAAAGTACAAGGATGCTAAATTTAGAAGCTACAAAAAGTACATTTATTTTCTTAATAGCCAATAATCTAAAAATATAGTGAAAAATGAATGATAAGATCTGCCTTCAAACACTAAATTCACAGACGCATAGTAAAGAAATCCATATTACAGGCATGAACCTTCACCAGCAAACTGATTATTTTTTATACGTTCGATGTTGTATTGCTGCATGACCATGCCACAATTTCATGTGGAAAATAAAGTGAAAGAACATACTACCATTGAGTTGATAAGAGAACAGCTCATGATGAGTTATGATGTCACATCTGTAGAAGTTTGTACAAAATGCCTTCTCAGTCAATCCAAAATGACTCTATTTTGTACCTAAAAGCGAACTTTAACCCTAAAGTTTAGAAAATGGTTTCAAATGGTCCTCGGATTTTTGTGCCTTTTATGAATCTTAATAGAAAAACGATGAGCACTTGAAACCTCTTATGGTGCATCCTCTATGGTCTATTTTCAATACATAGCAGAACTATGTTCCCTCCTAGTTTTTGGATTATGCAGCATATTTACCTGCTTATTTATTAAAGAAGTGGTTCCAAAATAAAATACCACAACACCAATTCCTGCCCCTCTGCCTTGTTCTTCATTATCTCTTTCTTCATTGTTGTTGAAGTAGGCACAAACTAATAAAGAACCACAAAATCCACAACATCAGAAACAGAGGGATAGGATCTTCATCCCTCGTCTTCCTCAAGCTGTCACCTACTGTTAGCTAAGTAATTTCCTAGATGCTTTCATTATTTTTCATCTTTTACTTCGTGGCAGTTGTGGTTGTATTTGACCTTGATTTGCCAATTCTGTAGCCTTGCTTCTAATTTAGAAGACTCTTGTGGGTCTAAAGCAAATGGCTAAAGGTAAGGCACTTATCAAGATAATCATGCTGATGGCACAATCACAATCCTTTTCTTTAGTTTCTATATGGAAACAATTAAACTATTTTTCAATACTTGGTTGGCCAGTTGGTGTCTTCAGAAGTATTACGCAAGGTTATTTTAAGAGTGCATCGAGTAGGCCCACCATTAGCTGAAAGTTTCTGGGTACTTCTTTTTCTATGCCCCCTTCTCTCCATTCTTCTTCATCTTGCTTGTCATTAGATGAGGATTTTCCCCTGAAAACCTGCAGTCTTAATGTTCTTTTTCTGAACTTTATGGGTTCAAATGACAATTTTTTGACTTAAGAGATGAATCTTCTCAAACCTCGTTGACTAAATGATGTTCTTCCTTGGAAGTTTTGATGATGTGTTATAATTACGAATCACCAAAGGCAGAAAGTTTAAACGATACTCAGCTATTCTGACTGGCTATTTTTAATGGCATTAAAAGCTCCATGACATTGTGATATTGGTGGAACTAAATTGGAAAGGAATCTGTTTAACAATAACAGCATGGAGAGGAAAGGAAGTGAAGAAAGTACGGTACCAGGCAGAAGTATCGTGGCCTAGAATATGGAACACCAAATTGCATTGGGCTTAAAATAAACTCCTGTCTAGAAAAATCAGCTTTTTCCAATATCTCAATCATTTTTGTATGTGTGTCAGATGTCTGCAACAGAAAGGAAAGCATCCGAAAAAAGATGAAGAATCAATCAAATAAATTCCAGTACACCAATAAGTTCAAGTAACATACCTCAAATCCAACAACGTTTTCCATGAATAACATTACTGGTGGCCTTGATGTTTGTAGCATCAACTCAAGAATTTTGAGGAATGAAAATGCCCGAGCATCGCCAGAATGCTTTTGTAGACCTATTTATATAAGGCACGATCATCCACTTTCCAGTTTATAAGATGCATGATTTACATGCATAAAATGTAGCAAGTAATTTGGGCCAGATTGTTCTTGATATCTTTTATTTTATTTTATTTGTGTTAGTGGGGGTGGGGGGAGAGAGATTTTCCAAGAAACTGAGTAAAGAAATGTACCCAGTGCGTCACTTTTCCAATGGGCATTTAAGTTATTATGTTCCAGATACAGACCAAGCACGGAAAAATACTGTTCAAATCTCTTTGGCTACTAATCAATGAAATTCTATTTAGATGGTGCCTTCAAAATACTAGTACTCTATTATGAGTACGAAATGAAAGGCAGAAGTAGTTAAATGTAGCCATGCAGGGATATATGAAAATCGTTAATTGAAAGAATGGACAAAATGGGCCAAAAACAACTGTCCAGCATCTCCTTAATAAGGTTTTTTTTTTTTTTAAATAAAAATCAATCTCATTTCATAGTTTTATATATTTCAAGCTAAAGATACATTCGGATTTGTTGTCTAAGATATATTACATCGTTGAAAAAAATATATAATAACATTTAACTGTGCTAACATGCTGTCATGTAGCTGCCATAATTTATGCTTAAAGACAGTATTCCCGTGAAGTTCAAATACTTGGAAATCGTTTATCATAATTTTCCGAAAATTAGTAAGAAACTCAAACTTAGTTAAAAAAAAAAACAAAGTATCTAATATCTAGCTAGTTCAACGATAAAGCATGTTCCCCAATGACAGTTGAGAAGTACAAATTTCTCACTTTATCACAGTGCTTTTATTGGAGAAGAAAAACATTCAATGGTAGCATTCAGCGAAACCATGAACTTGAAATTGGTCGAATACAATTTGATATTAATAACCAAGGAATGTACTTTCAGTATGTAAAATTTACCACAAAATTTCTTTAACTAAACAGCAGATGATATTGATAATTTATTTACTTCTAAATTGATACGAAAACACACCTTGTCGTGTATACGGTTGGCAAGGAGGTGAAAGAAGCCAAACATGAGCTTGGTAGCTGTCGATATCAGCAGCAGTCAGACTTTCAATATTACCCTATCCAAATAAAGTACTTAGAAAAGAGTGATATGGTCAATTTATTTGAGAACATCAAAGTTTATCCCAATATTATGCAAACTAAGCTGTATGCTCTGTTTTGTACTTGCCAAGATAATAGCCCTAGTAAAAGTTAGTCTTGATTGCAAAAGCCAACTGCACAAATATAACTGAACCAATCATTTGCATGCATTGCATCAACATTCACAAACATTCATATCTTCTCTTTGTCCACTTGAACGAAGTACAGGAAGTCAATTTATTGCAACCAAAGAAATATAGAAGGAGAGGGAAACAAGCTCTCCAACTGTTCAATTATAGAACTCTTCAGTGTTATTAGAAAGCCAAATAATATTCTGCCTACTGCTAAAAGCTTTTCCCATTTCTAACATTCCAAATAAGGCACATACTAACGAAGCAATGTAATGGTAAACAATTTCAACCCTTCTTTTTTGGAGGTGAAGCCAGAAAATCGTGCCAAAATCAACTCTAACTTGAGAAGGAATAACTCAAAAGTCAAAGGAGACCACGATTTCCCACGGCATCCACCCACCCACACTTTTATCATGCAAAACCAATACACAAATGCCATGTCTAACCTCCGAGGACTAATATGGACACGAAATATAAGAATTTCTTCGGTATCCTAAATGTCCAGACTCCAAATTAGATAATAGATCCAACGGCTAAGGATGCCAGACCTATGTAGCAGGGAAATCAAATGAGAGCGACTGGAAAGATTCAGATATCAAAAGAGAGCTACAAGAAAGACGCAGGACTGGTCTCAAAAATCGATAATTCTTTACTTTCCTGAACCTCCAAACTTCCAACCAAGCACATAGGGTTGCTTTTGGCCATAACTAAACTTATAAGCAAAAATTGACACTCCATTTCAAAGGAAGCTTCGCATGAGCTGTTACATGTCCTAAATTTTATGACGCTTTTGGTTTGGCAGTTCCAAAAAAAAAAAAAACCACAACGAAAGTTGTTTGAATCAGAGATTCCAGAAAAAATACTTCATATTGCTACCATACTTTCCATTTACGTTGTGAATTCAAACTAGCTGCAATTTGTAATCTTATCACTTAAGAAATACGTCCTTTAGTGAGTGGAAGGTAATTCCTAACGAAATAAATAAGCTTAGTTTCAACATTCAATATACTTAAACCACAACCGGAAAGTATTTTCATCTCAATTTTGAAAAAACAAAATAGTTTCGTTGTCTCTGTTGAGAAGCAGCAAAAAATTTACTCCTGCGATACAGAATGAATCGCCAAGACGCTGTCGAAAAATTGTACGACGGTTATGGTTTGGCAGTTCAAAAGAAAATCCACAGAGCTAGTTATTTGAATCGAATATTCCAACAGAAAAACACTTAAGATAGCTAACGCATCGTCAGCTTACTAGATGATTCTGAGGTAATTGCTCACCAACTAGATAAGCTTAACTCCAACATTCAACGACTTCAAATTCAATCTACTTAAGCCACGACTGGAAATAATTTTTTCATCTCCATTTTGAAGGAAACACCAATTTCATTGTTCGAATTGAGAAGCAGCGAAAAAATACTCGTACGATAGAAATAGAATCGTTCTCAATAAACAAAATAAGAAGAAGACACTGTCATACCTGATACGGACGATCGCCGAAATTGTGCTCGTAAACGTCGTTTGCTTTGTCGTTGATATCGAAAGCTTGTACCACTTTCGCATCGACGCCAGCACTCAGTAGCGAGTACCTCTGTTTGAATTCGATTAGCAAACGGTTCTAAAGAAAGATATACACATGATAGAGATGGAGGAAGAGAGAGGCGCGGGGGAGAATAGTACCATGCCACCAATGCCGCTGTAGAATTCAAGGACTCTCCATGGTTCGCCTTGCAGCTGCGGAGAAACCTTCTCCATTTGCCCCTCGTTACTCCGCCCCGCTCCCGCGAAATCTTTGTGCAGTGGTCTATGCTCTGCTTGGTTACTGGAAATTGCTCTTAAGGAAACCCATTTTTTTAGTTCTTGTTTTTAAGATACCTAGTTAGAGTTGGAAGGTTGTGTTAATAGTAAATAATACTAACTTCGATTATTAGTGACTTTAATACTTTATAATCATTTTTTTCATGTACTCGGTCTTCGATCAATAAAAATTTGAATACCCTTAATAATCAGTACCAACTTTAGAGTGTCAATACATCATATATCTTCCCCCAATGTGATATAGTTGGAGGTGAAACTACAGGTTAAATACATTCATTATTTAATACAATATCTTATATCTTATATATGTTCGCTTGAATAAGTTTGTTAGATATACGATGGACCTTAATGTGACTATCATGGAGTTGCAAACAATTATTGAAAATCGATATTTAGTCCAAAAAGAAAGTATCGAAGTTGTAGAAATTAAATGTAGTATAAATATATAATCTAATAAGAATTAGATATCAAATAATATATTATGACAAAAATGAAATCGCTCTTAATGCAAATATAGCATATATCTTCAAACCTCAGAGCGCGTAGTTGTTTATAAATATGTTTTGCGTCATTTCAAGGTTTGGTAACTTCAAATGAAATTGTTTATAACGTTATATGTCTTGTTTTTATTCATCACAATATGTGGTGGTGGGGATTCAAACTCACAATTTATTGGTCGGATATCTAGATATCTTAACCAATTGAACTATGTTCCGATTGACAATAGTATTGCATTGTCACATTCGAACTCACAATCTTTTGTTGTTAATGTTATATATTCGTTAGTTGAATTGTTCAATATAGTGTAATTTTTAATAAAACGTGGAAGTACTACTCCACATTGAATATATATATATATATATATATATATAAAAATATACCAACAAGAATTGTCAATTGAAAGTAGTTCCAAAAATAAAATTTATAGTTGTTTTTAATTGTCCTCGTGAGTTTATTTTATTGAAAACTATGTGCTTTATAAAATAAATGGTTAATTCATTTAGTGTCGTGTTTTTATTACGTGGGGTGTTTTTCATTTGTATAACAAGTCACAATATTTAACCATTTTTAAAATCTATAAACCAATTTGTAAAAATTAAATTAAAATCTATAAATCAATTTTACACATAATTAAAAATTCAAGATCCTATTACACACTAAATTAAATTTAGGATATAATATATTTATAAACGTAACGAAGTATTTTAAAAAAAAAAAGAAGAAGAGAAAAACTCACGTAATAAACAGAAGTAGATGTCATATTTTGGCAACCAAATTCAATAAATTTGCTACGAATTTTAGAATGGGTTGAAAAGTAGATATGATGGGCTTAAGAAAAAACACCGGCCCACTTTCATAAGCCCAAAAGTAATGAATCCATTATCATTGGGTCGTCCGAAGACCTCCTCCACGCTCCAAATCCAGCGCAAGCATCTACTCCATTCTATATTAACCTACGCCAGTACGTCCATCTTTCTGAGGATTCACTCTCATCTGGGTTCACTTTATTCTGTGGTTCTGCGTTTTTCAGGTCACTTCTAGGGTTCCCATACTTCAATCTGCTACTCGTTGACGTTTTATTCGCGATTGTTCTTTGATCTACGTTCTTTTTACTATCTTCAACTCTCCTTCATTTTGGGTGGGGCGAGTTCATTATTTGCGGCTATAATTTCAACTTTCTTTTATGTGTATGCTTAAAATTCATTTCATTGCAGTTCATCTCCTCTGCAGTTCGAGTGGTTTTTACTGTTTTTTGTATGCTCTCTGACTGTAGAATATAAAATCTATTTAGGGTTTAAGGTTTTGCACTCCATTATTTGCTAATTTACTTTGCCGCGGGTTTTTTAGTATGCACCATATTGATTTGTCCGATAGTCTTTGGTACCTTAAATCAATTTCTTGGTTGATTTTGCTTCTTGCGTACCCATTTACGCGAGCTTATAGAACATTTTTGTAGATATTCTACGTCGTTTTTTTTAAGGAATGACTGCTCTTTGTTTACTTCATAGTGTAACGAAGTATTATTTATATTTGATTCTTCTTTTCCTTTCAAGGTTCTATCATGCAATGCTTGTGGGCTCTTTTACTCTTGGGCTACGATGTAATTTTAATTGTCTAAGTGATCATAGCGAATTTGTACTACTTTCTGACGGAAAGCTAATTCCAGTTTATCCGTGATGATTTAATGTGTCATCCTCCCTACATATAACTATTGCTTATTTACTTAATTATTTTCGCCGTCTTATTACTTAGGAAGAAAATGTCCATGTTGATTGATGCTAGGAAAAAACCATTGGAAAGTGTGAAAGTGCGGAGTAAAGTACTTAAAACGAGAATTAAATCCTATTTTCGTTTTCGAACATTGCTTGAAGAACAATTATGCTTTTAGTCACAGCAGTCAGACTGTATGGTTCGTGGAGAAACTGGTCCATCTCTCCCTCCATCTCTCCTTCCGGTTCTCAATTAAGCTGCCGCTGCCCTTTCTCTCACCATTTCTTCATGTTCCCTTTTTTATTACTTATTTTATCTCTCCATTTCTTCATATCTGTATTTGTCACTAACATATCTGTACTTTATTTTTTCCTATTTTGTTTATTTTTTCTCTCTCCTCTTTCATCATATTTTTATATGGCAATTAGAATGGTAGTGATTGAATTCAACTCTCAAATTAGGTCTATGGTTGTAGTGCAAATTTGAAGCTGAAGGAAGAGAGAACGTTTGGAGCTGAAGGAAGAGAAGGAAAAGAATGACGAAGAAGAAGAATCCTTTGGTTTTTATGGATGTCTCAATTGATGGAGACCCTAGGGAAAAAATGGTTTTTGAGGTATTTACCTATTTACACCTGTCAAATGTATGGATTGGGTGCTTAGCCTTTATTTGCATGATACACATTGTAGCCTTTGTTAATGGAGGAAAGAGTGAAATTTAACTTAGTCGTGAGTGTTATTTTTCAATATGGTTACTTTTGCAAGAGTACATACTTAATTGGGTCTTTGTTTTGCATGATATTTTCAGCTTTTTTATGATGTGGCTCCAAAAACGGCCGAGAACTTTCGCGTGCTGTGTACAGGTAAAGCATATGCCAGATATCAATTATTATTTCATGAAAATCAGTGTCTGTTTTACTCATATTATTTCAACTATCAATTAGTTATCAGGCTGCAGAGCATATTGTTGGTAGTGTAATGATGACCATATCATCTTATTCATATATAATTAATTTTACAGAAATATGTATTTTTGAGTAATAGTCCTTTATTTTTAGATAACTATGTATGCTGGGCAATGTTCCTTTCTTTTTCTTAACTATTTATTTCTAACGTTGGCAAAACAATCTTGGCCATATAATATTATTTATATTTAGTTGGTTCTATAGAATTATTGTGGTAAGCAATATTCCTCTCACCTTTTTAACTATTGATTTATTTTTGAATTACTCATATTTAAGAACTTGATTTTATTTTCTCTTTTTTATTATAATTTATCTTCAGGAGAGAAAGGAATTGGCCCCAAAACTGGAAGACCACTACATTATAAGGGATCTTTTTTTCATCGGATTATTAGAGGCTTCATGGCACAGGTATGTTGTCTACATCTCGCTGGCCATTTCCCCTAAATGTAACGGATTTTATCTTGGCTTGAATGCCATGTATTTTTCTAGTTGAATGTGCCTTAGAAGTGGTCTGCCTTTTAGTCAGTTATCCTTGTTTATGCTGTAGGCTACAGGGCTGATGGTCAAGAATCCTTTTCTTGTGATGTAGTTTTAAGGTTGTACTTGCTATGTTGTCCATCATAATTTTTACTTAGTTTTTTCACAACCGATGTAGTTTGTAGTCATGTTATATTCTTTCTTTACCATGAGTTAATGGTTCTTTTTCCGTATCTTTCCAGGCTGGGGATTTTGTCAAACGAGATGGTAAGGATTTTCTCCTGCTTGTTTATTTTTCTCATTGTGTTGTCTGTTGAAGTTATGTTTACTGTTCTTACATTGTTTTCTCTGTATATTTATACTACAGAAATGTTATTGAATCTGTTAATGGGTAGGAATGCTCTTAAAATTTATATCTTTAAATTTAGTATTGCCATTTTTTAGATTTAATTCTTGCAAACTTGTGCTTGCTCGTAAAACGAAGTGAATAATTATGCATGCACCTTGGTTGATGCAGGTGGCTGATTTTAAACTATGTTAGTTATCAAGTTACTCTTTTACTTGGAATTTGAGGAAAAAAGTGCGTTTTTAAAATGAATTATTTGATTTGTACAATGCATCAGGCAACAACCTTGTACGATTTATTTCCACTCCATCTCTTCAGTTTAGAGATTAGGGATTCTTCATTAATGTAGGATAGTTCAATAATTTTTTATTTAGTACTTTTTGCTTGGTAGTTATACCTTTCTTATGTACGTGACTGTTAGTAGATAGTTGATAGTTAATCATTGAGGAGCTAGCCTGTCCTATGACCCGTGGGGGGGGGGGCATTCAGAGTTGAAAGAAGTAATTGACAATGATCTTTTATGAATTGATAGCTGCCATTTCCTTTTTTGTTTTTGTGAAAAGTTTGTTCAAGATTGTAACTAGTGAACGGGAAGCTTGACATCTGATGGTTTCTTTGAAAAGTTGTTCAAGTATTTCCTGTGCTGTTTCTATAGAAGTTATAAGAAACGTTGACCTGTGAACAGGATCACCTTGTAGAATATTTTTTTGCATGATGATGCTAGTTAATTCTTCCCTGGTCTTATCTTACTCAGGTACTGTTGGAGAGAGCATATATGGGGGAAAGTTTCCAGGTGAATGCTATTTCTTTTAAATTTATGCTTTCCAGAATTAAGGTTAACTATGATTTCACTTTGCTTGTATGCTTGTTGTTTAACGATTGACTTAATGCATGATTTGCTAAGGGGAAAGAAATGTGTTGTTTGTTGAAATGGGCGTTGTCTTTTTCATCAGTCTTTTACCGATGTGAATAATCTTCAAATTGTAGATTTGAGAAATTTGAAGGCTAATATTCTAATTTTAAATTTTTTAAAGCTGAAGTTAGGAAATGTTTTTTTAAAAAAATAATTTTTGAAGTTTTAAATTATTGATAATATGAGGAGTATGCTTGTAACGTTTTGGCGGCTATGGATTTTGGTCATATGGTTTGTGCTGTTGCTTCTTGCATACGTCTTGCATACTCGCTATTTTTTCATTTGATGGCATTGGGCTGTGGGTATAATAAAGATTTTGCTGACTATTGATTTCTATGGTATTCTGTATCTGTAAAGTTAATTTGGATTCATTTCATTCTCATGATAAAGAATATTTTGTTAACTAAGAAAATGCAGGTCATGGAGTCCCACTTGTTTTCCATGAGGTTCTCCCCTACATTGATAGGTTTCTTTTTCATCCGAGTATACTATCTGCTTTATTTTTTTAAATAATTTTACTGAGAGAATTTCTACATGTGATACCAATCAAGTTTCAGTTCTCCTTGTCTCTAACATGATACCTTAATCCATCTGTTTTAATTTAATGGGATAGGTCAGAAATGGTCCACGATATGTCTGTATTGTGACCATTACTGCATGGCTTTCTCAAGCGTACATCTTAATGCTTGATATATCGATTCTGAAATCTATCTTTTTGTTTACATATTGTTGTCTGCACAATCAATTATTGCTTTTGCAAGCTATTAAAAGGTTTTTGTGTTTCTATTTTGGTGTGAAATTGAGGGTAACGAATGTTTTTGGGATTGTTACAGATGAATCTCCTCGACTGAAACATGATGGACCTGGTCTTCTGTCTATGGCAATTGCTGACCGTGACACTTTAGGCTCCCATTTTCTTATTACATTTAAGGCCAATAATCATCTTGACAGGTTTGTTAATGTTGTATTCCACTAATTTGATTGTTCATGTGCATGTGGATGTGAATAGAAGTTTGATGGATATCGAAGTAGTAATATTATTTACGTGGACTCAATCTCATTATCCCTCCCTCCCTCATCTGTTAGGAAGCATGTAGTATTTGGAAAGCTTGTCCAAGGCTTTGACGTGCTGAAAAAGATAGAAAGCGTGGATGTTGAAGATGGCATTCCAACTGTTACTGTGAAAATTGTCAATTGTGGTGAATTTAATGAGGGTAAGTATTATAAAACATATTGGTAATTTATTAGTTATTGCAAGGTAATTTGTTGACCCGGCCCTCTCTATAAGTTAGTTGACAGTTTACGCATGTGTATTCTCTACTCATTTCTGAGCCTAAGTATATGCACGCCTGTTCATTTTTCATTTTAAATATCATTTTGCATGCAGAAAAAAGGAAGATGAATAAATCAAAAATAGGAAAAAATGATTCTTCAGACGACGACAGTTATGAAGAAAAGAAAAGAGGAAAGCAGAAAAAACTAAGGGAGAAGAAGAGGAGGAAGAGAAGATACCACACATCTGAATCGGATAGTTCTTCTGATTCAGAATTAGACTCCTCCGACTCTGAGAGTGGTTCTGACTCAGATCTGTCGTCGTCATCATCATCTTCTGAAAGTTCTAGTGATGACAGGTCTAAAAAGAGGAAGAGGAATTCTAAGAGAGGCAGATATAGGCATGGTAGAAGAAAGGATAAAAGGCGTGACAGAAAGAGGCGGAAGCATGATAAGAAATCAAAGAGAAAATCTAAAAGGTTATTGATACTATCACTTAAAAGTACATCTTTATTTATTATCTGGTTTTTGAAAAGAATTTACTAAGAGCATAGATCTTCAGTTAAACGTTGAAGTGTTTTCAGTCTTTTTTTTGGGTGTTTGGGGGCGAGGGGGTGTTGGAAATGTTTGATTGGTTCTCTTCTTATAGTTGATTACTTGTTTCTTAGGACATGCATATAATTTGGACTTTTCTTTGAAGTTGGGGTTTTCTTGCGTGTAAAGCGTTTTCAGTTCATGTGAGTGACAGCAGAATGAGGCTTTTCAGCTACACTATTATAGATGCAGTTTTGAGCATGTGATTGTATATTTAACTTGCTATTCTTTTTGGGCAAATCGCATGATATTGGCTGTGAACAAGGTTGAATATGCTCTTCCCAGCTATAGATCTACCCCAGGTTATGTTATAGTTGTCAATTCGGCTTTGTAAGGGTGTGCAACTTTAATTTTTTATGAGAAACAATTTCATTTACCAAATGAAATGTAAAAAGGGGAAAGAATTCGTGTTAAGTTAAAAAAATGTCTTTCAGATAGTGAAAAAGGCAAAATAGTGTAATTGAAAGAAAAAGTCGAGAGTGATTGCACCATATGGCTGGAACAGGAAGAAGGCCAAATTAACTCAAAGGATTTTTCTTTTTCCATAAAGGCTTGTATTTCTCAAGCTATAAAGACCAGAAGAAAGTCCTAATAGAAGTGAGCCTCAAGATGTTATCTAAGGACATAAGGAGAGAAGGTAAGTGACACTGAGATTTTGCATCGGAGTTGCAAAGATAGCTATAGCTGGTGGATGGGCCAATTAACAGCAATTGTTTATAATAAAAAAATGTATTCTGGTGGATGGGTTACATTAACTATTGGAGTTGTCTTTTCAAGCATACTTACTTTTAATCATCTCTTAGCTATTATGTTTGAGTGTATTGTTTGTCATTTTGCTGCTTATTATGAGACTTCTCTTGGGATTGGGAGGAGAGAGCTGCTGTTGGGATGTGATATTTGTGATGTCTTGTTTTGGTGAACTGAAGAACTTTCAATTTCTCAATAGCTAGAATTTCTTTGTTCTTTTCATGCAAGATGGGCATTATCTAATACTCAGTTTTTCTCATCTCAAGGGGTTTGGACAGTGTTACGGATACTGAAAGTGATAGCAAAAGCAGAAGCAACTCCGACCGAGATGGCCTTGATGGTCAAGGGATAGATCTAAAGCGGTCAGCAAAAGCTGGTAGTTGTTTGTTTTTTTTCTTTATTCAGTCCTTCATGTGAATTATGATGATGGGTGATTTAGTTTATTTCTAATTTGATCTCACTCACTAGCTGATTGCATGCAAATTTGTTCGTCATTGAATAATCTCATAATTTTCTCATTAATTATCTCTTGAAAGAAAATGCTAAAATAGAATCGGCATAGGGAAGATGAATATGACAGCATGTTTTAGAATGGTGCAGAACATGGGTTTAATTAATAACAAGCTATTACTATGTTTTTTATGATGTCCTGCAGCTGAAGATGATGTACCTCAAGTCTCAGATGCCCGTAATAGGAGGAGAGGAGAGGCAGATATGATGATGGTACATGATGGGGAGAGATCCCCCAAGGAGAATGGTGAGCGAAGGAGCAATGGTGTTGCTGCAGTGGATTCTAAATCCGACAGAAGCTCGGAAAGACAACCTGATATTGTAGATGACCACCCTGGAAAATCTAGGTCCACTCTTCATTCTTGTCACACCTCAGTTATTCTTTGTGCTTACAAATTGTTCCAGACCTGGTATTTTATTTAAAGTTGATGAGCAGGAGTCGAAGCATTAGTCCTAGAAGGACGATGAGTAAGAGTATGAGTATTAGTCCCAGGAAGAGTCGCAGCAAAAGCCACAGTGTCAGTCCGAAACGCAGTATGAGCAGGAGTCGAAGTATTAGTGGCAGCCCCCCTCGTGCACCATTGAGGAGCAGGAGCATCAGCAGAAGTCCTGTTCGAAATGGTAGCAGGAGCGTCAGCAGAAGTCCCGTTAGAAATGGTAGCAAGAGCCCAGGTAGAAGTATTAGCAGAAGCCCAGATAGGGGAAGGAAGGGTAGGAGTATCAGTAGAAGCCCATTACGAACCAGGCCTCAAAGAGGTATTAGCAGGAGCCCTTTGAGATCCAATCCACCAAGAAGTCTGAGTAGGAGCCCACCTAGAAGAGCCTCTAGAAAATCAATTAGTAGAAGTCCTGCAAGAGTTTCCAGAAGTGCAAGCAGAAGTCCAGTGAGGTCCTCTCGACAGAGCTTGAGTAGAAGCTCAGGTAGGGCAACATCTAGGAGAAGTGTTAGTCGAAGTCCTCGAGCACCAGTCCGGAATCGAAGGAGCTACTCCAGGAGTCCTAGTCCCGTCCGAAGGCCAAGGTCACCAGTATCTGATAGAGGGAGGAGTGCATCAAGAAGTGCTTCTCCAGAAGGATCTCCAAAGCGCATCAGGAGGGGGCGTGGTTTTAGTGAGCGATATTCATTTGCTCGAAGATACAGAACACCCTCTGCATCTCCTGTACGGTCATACCGTTACAGTGGTAGAGTTGAACGTGACAGGTGAGCTTTTTGACCACTGCTGAGTTTTTATGGTCGCTCCCAGTGTGTTTTTAATGCTTTTAGTGAAGTGCTTTTGCTTGTGTTACTAGATATTCAAGTTACCGAAGATACTCTCCTAGGCGTTATCGAAGCCCTCCTAGAGGAAGATCTCCGCTAAGGTTTGTCATCTCTACTATATCTCACTATTAAAATTTTTAATTAAATCTATCCATGAACACTTGAGTTTCTTTCCCATCTGATTCAAAACCACATTATATTTCAATTCCAATTTTGCGGCAATTTCACGTTGAGACATGACCGGCTTACAGCTTTGATCTCTGAGACGAGCATAATAAATGCCCTGTCTTGCCTGATTGTTTTGATTTTAAGTCAGCGGGGTAAACTTCTTGTTATACAGATACAGAAACAGAAGAAGCAGGACTCCCTCTGTATCCCCTAGTCCTCGTTACCGTAGCCGTCGATATAGTCGTAGCCGAAGTCCCATTAGGAGCCGGTCCCCAGTTGAGGCATCCCGGTCTCGTTTGTCTCCTAGAGTAGTTGGGCGGAGATCTCCTTCAAGGAGCAGATCCCCATCAAAATCAAGGTCCCCTGCTGACTCGCAATCCCCCAGGAGGCCTATCAGAGATAGGTCCAAGTCTCCTTCTGGTAGCCCAGATGGGAAGAAGGGCCTGGTCTCGTATGGCGATGGATCTCCCGATTCAGAGAGGTGAAAATATTGGTGAAAAAGGTGTGTTCCAGCTCTCTCATCTCTCGTTCCTTGAAAAGAGAAATTATAAGTGGATTCTAGCCTTTGTATTAAATCCGGCTTAGATTTGTACTAGAGCATGCTTCCTAGGATATGCAGTGAATAATATTAACTTGGATCGTGTTTTAGGTTATTCAGTTCAGACAGTATTGTTGGTATGCTTGTAGTTGTTGGCCAGTTTGGTGAGATCCCATAGTTTGTGTTGATTAAAATTCAAAGATTCTAGTTGGCACAATATTCAGCTTTAACTCTTGTTTATCAGCACAAGGCGTTTTGAATTAGAGCTGGCCTAGCTTAAAGGTTCAGTTTCTGTGTGGGTACACCAGTTCTTAAATAATCTAAATTCTGGCGTTTGGAAGAAAAATTAAAAAAATGTTTTTGATTCATTAAAACACTTTATAACTTTCATAATTTTTGTTGGTTTTGGTTAGATAATAAAAAGGTAATTTTTGGAAATTAAGGTAATTATTTTTATTCAAAGTGGTTATAGAAGCTGTCCTTTCTGTGGTTAGGTTTATGTGAATTCTTCGGGTAGACTTATATTTGATAACTCAGATCTTTAAAATACTTTGTGGCTCCTCTTCTGGGCTTTAGGGAGTATTGCTAAAATAGCACAAAAAAAATATTTACTTATATGTATAACATTAAGTTTAAAATTTTATTAAAATAACCAATTGTAAATTTATGCAATCACATGTGATATGACCGATTAAGAGGATATTTTTATGAATATATAATTTCTCAACAACAACAATCTACTAACTTAAAATTTTGGTTTCTAAATTAAATGAAATTCAAGTTGCTTAAACTAAATACTTCCTGAAGATGCAAAAATTATTTAAAAAACATACACGACAAGAAGCATATGCGGTAAACTTATATGCATCATTACCTCAAAATTACCGTGTCAATAAAAAATCTAAAAACCCAATTTAAAAATCAAGTAGTGGTGACAGCATCTGCAGTGTACGAATCAAAGGATTTGAAGGTGATGAAGAGATCTGTTTTAGTCCCATCGCTTATTATTCCAAAGATCAAATACACTTAAAAATATTACACAATGGATTTTTTCTGTACCAAAGAGTTGACAACTTTTTCAAAAGCAAAATCTTTATGTTTTAAATAATCCAATTTTAAACCAAAGTAAAAGTAGTGCTAGCCAAAAAAGTCAAAATCTTTCATCACCAGGAATTTGACTCTTGACTTTGGAGGGAAATTTTCCTTCCTACCCCATTAAAGCGACATTATATATTTTTTTCTTTTTCATTTGATAAGCATACGAATTGACGGATAAAATAGAATGAAATAAAAAAACATTTATTCCATATAATTTTATGCACTAAGATATATATTAACGAATGGTTTAAATACTATTTTACAGTTTCAGTTTCAATTTATTTTAAATATTATTGGTTTAAATATTATTTTAACTATATATTATAGATGGATGGTTTAAATATTATTTTAAACTTTCAGTTTTGGTTTATTTTATTTTGTGTACTCTCAAATTGTTCATTCATGTACTGTCAATTTTTATTCATTTAAGTTATTGTATTTTCAAAATATTTGTCAGGGTCTTTTTTTTTTTGAGTTAACCAGTCTTTGAAAAGTGATCATGTTAACAAAATTTATATACATAATGAACCCTGTAATATTAAACAATGAATATTTCAATAAATTTATTAATATTATATCATATTGAAATTGTAATTATAAAAAATTAGATAAAAAAGAAAAAATACATGAGGAGTACATTAGTTACTTTTGAAGTACATCGACCAAAATAGAAACTAAAATTAACAAATATTGAAAGTATAGAGACGAAATTAGACATTTTGAAAGTATTGTGATCCTATGAAAAAAAATTAATAGTATGATATGACCAAAATAGTATTTAAAGATTCAAAATAAACACATGTCATGTCATGTCAGAAAATACAACAAAATCTTTTCATATCTAAAGTTTTTTCCTTGCTTGTTAGCAAGAATATTTTTGAGTATAGCATGCAAATCTTTGGAGTGCTAAGGGAAGAAAATGATTGAAGTGAGGGACAGAACAAATTGTATTCGCAATATTTGGGATTAGACTGTTGATTCTCACAACAAGATTATTACTAATAATAAAATAGAAAGCGGGACAGAACAAGACGCCAATTTGGAAAAAGCTATTTCTCTTTTGAAAAAGAACCTTCATTTATCTTTTTAAATTTGATTATAATATTGACTTAAAAGGAATGTCCTCACAATAATATATATTTATATAATCGTACGAAGATTCTCTAGATTGAGAAAAAATATATAATTTTTATTTTTGAATTTAAATACTATCTTGATCCTCTTCGTTTCCATCTCATTTTTCTTTCAATTATGTTTTAACAACATACCTCATCTATTAAATTTATTGAAATACTTGGTATAAAAGATTTTTGGATTAAATTTTTTTAAATATAAACTAAATTTACTATTTTTTTAAGTACTATTGATCAGAGACAAGTATTAAATACTGCTACGTGAACTCCAAATCAGTTAAATGGATTAAAAGGGCTTGGTGTGCAACTCTCGCGTGTTTGAAAAAAATAGCATATGATGATTTAGATGGTTGAAATTGGTTAAAAATGGTTGCAGAAGAATCTTCTGAAATTCAAGAAATCAAAGGAGATCTATTTTTTCTGAGCTGTCTTGCATTGTCTTTCATTCTATAATTGACCAATTTTTTTTTCCTTCCTTTTATCATTGGGGGTTTCAGAAGTGTGATTGATGGGGTGGGGGTAGCTTTCTTTCAAAGTTCATACGTGTTGCATCTTTGGTAGTAGAGAGAAATTGAACCATATATTATAAAATAAATGTGCATCATTATGTCCATATCTCAAATTTGGATAGAATATATCTCTTTGTGTGACGATTGAAGTTGAAGTCTTTTAATTCTTTGTTGAGTTTAAGTCATTTATCTTCGATAATTTTGTTAAAGAAAAAGAGGTTTAATTATGCAAATAATGTTATGTTTTTCATTTTTCGCTTTATTTTTCCTATTGAATATTGAAAAGTAATAAGGATTAGACTTGTGTCGAAACTTCCTCTACAATATCGTCATCCAAGTAGAATTTAACCAACAACTTTGGGATGAATTGGTTTGGTTCCCCTACATATGCATAGTGCACACAAAGAATATTGAATTCAAATGTTATTATTTCTGACATGCAAGCTATTGAAGATGGTCATCTAGATGAAGACTTTTATACTCAATAACAATTCTCAAGTTTATGTTCTTCAACTTCAACAACGGAATATTTAGCTATTGGAAAATCGCCATTGATTAGCACAGTCTCCATTATTGGCGGTAGCTCTGCCTTATGGGGACAGCGGAAAAGAAGAAATAGTTGGAAGAAAGGAAGAAAAGAATTTGAAAAATTTTTAGGTTGATAACCAAGTCCAATAGCAGACTTGGAATCTAATGTACTTATAGTTATACTTGGCCTACCAATCTTTTAATTTAAACTTGAATTTTTATTATAATGGAAAATTTTAAAATATTATGGACAAACCTAAAACTAAGCATATAGATTAGAGACAAAATTGAAATCAAATAAATGATGCTAATGTGTTTTTACCCTCAAATTTTTAACTTTTCTCAAGTATTTTGACAGAGATCCTTAATCGAGGGTCAAATTTGAACTTTCAACGAGGTTAGAACAACCTTGTATGTTTAAAATATTTTCCTATAATTTAGCATGAGAAAAGTGGCAATGCATTGTGAGAGATAATAATGAAGCTACGTGCTCTTTATTTATTAGACTATATAACTTAGTAGTATTTTTAAAAGTATTAACATTTTAAATGATACTTTTTGAAATATTCTATCAATTATATTCTTTATATTTCTCAAAAACAGCCATAAACACAATCAAATGGCCACATTAAAATTTGCGAAGCATTTTATTTGAGCATTRAGGAAACGACACGTGTTACGATAATGTGACAGTTTCCTCTTTTCTGAAAAAAAAAAGTTTATTAAACTGATTTTTTTTTTGTGGCCCAACAATAATAATCGAATTCCAAAACGAAGATGCACTCATGAATTCCTTCTTCAGAGAAAGTATCACTAAATTTCCGTTCAGATTATCTATTTTTTAAAACAAAGCCTACACATTCCTAAAACATATAAATTTTATAATTTTAAACATCAAATTAAAATGAAAACTTTGATCAATTAATTCATTAATGCCTTAAATGGATGGTAAAATATAATTTATGAGACAAAAGTTTGACACTTCAAGCTAGTTGTTATAGAAATTGTTGGTATAATATAAATTTTGGATAGAATAATTTGACTATTTAAGTTAGAGTGTGAACAAATTCGTCTCTTTTCTTAAAGTCTAAAAACTAAAGCAGTTTTTATCGTTGCATGTTACATAAATCAACATCAAAATTCTTTATTAAAGTACTCATTTTAATCTTAAAAGGAAAAACTTTTGTCTGTATAATAATAAAATTAAAAAAAAAAGTCTCATTTTCTTTATGAACAATACTAACTTTCGGACTAGCGGAGATTTTTTATAAACTGCGGTTACATTTTTGATAAATAAGGGGAGAGAAGTCAGATAGGTAAAATAATGTTTCTTGTAAAATAAATAATCGTCAAATTTTTAATAGTTTTTAGATGCCATAGTTCAAATGTTGTAATTACATAAATAGTTGTCGTTTTTTTATTCAAAATTACTATTAAAATATAGATAAATAATTACAACAAGTTTTGTTCTCGAGATTTAAGTCCATCTTGATTATTAAACTTTCAAGTTTATTTTATTTTGATTTTCAAATTTTTTGAGATATCCATTTTAATCCACAAACTTTTAAGAAAATGACTATCTTAGCTTTTTACATTGTTTTACGGTGAATTGCTTAATATTGATATGATGATAATCTAACATACGTATATTAACGTATTTGATGGTGTGAGCATGCGTATTAAAGCTACCTAACTAGACTAGCTGGTTGGGATGGATATTAAGGAGGATATCGAGTTTTAAATTATGACAAAAACTAAAATAGTTATTTATTAAATGATTAGACACTAAATCAAACAGTTTAGAAGTTAATAACCAAATTAAAATAAATTAACAGTTGAACCGCCCTAATATAATTATATATATAAATATTGATTATAGATATCAACTCTTATATGTGTATATGTGTGTGTATATATATATGAAACAAAATCTACTTAAGTTGTGTCATTTCTTGAACTCACCTTAATGCATATATTATATTAGTTAAAGCATTTTATTGAAAGAAAATAGATGATCAAACCTCCTTTAACCTTTTAAAGAAAATAATAATTTGACCGAGTTTTGAATAAAAAGACATATTTTGAAGTTAACACAATAATAATTCAATTGATCAAAATATATATACTGAACCAAAAAATTATAGGTTCAATTTTCTAGCCATACATATTGTTGACTCGACAGCGAAAAAAAAAATCACATATCTTTGAATTATTGCATAAAAAGAACTCTAAAAAGGAAAAGATATCAAAGAAACTTTTACGAAGATTTAATTCCCTTAAAAAAGGACTTTACATTCCAAACATGGTTGGAACTTGGTATGAGACTTAATAGTTAATTTTGTGTTAAATTAGTAACTCTTCAAATTCTTAAATTAGAAAAATTTCAATCACATCATAGTGACTAGATTCATATTTATTAGCATGAGATGCTTATTAATTTGTTCTATTGTTATCAGAAGACAACTCAATTAATTAAGATATTATTTACTTTTAAGTTGGAAAGTTTAATCCTCCATATCTTATTGATCTAAATAAAATAGTTTCATTGTCCGGCCTCATCAAGTCAACTCATCCAAACATATTTAATGGTCAACATTCCTCTAATAATGTTAATAGAGTATATTAAATGAAAATATGATTGAAAATTTAAATAAACAGTAAAAAAATTTAATGTAATGAAACACAGTATTGAAAGTCAATATGAACATAACTCAATTGAATAACAAATTAGAAGTTCGAATTCCTATTATTATTATTTCTTTTTCTTTTTTTGACGTGAACCTATTATTAAATTTATAATTGAACTATTTTTTGATATAATAAGTATCATTTTTACGCGGTAAATACATCACATTTACAAATAAAGGTAAAAGACATATTTTTTTCCCTGAAACGTTTATTTATTATCATTATTTTAATTTTATAATTTTTAAGAAATAAACTTCTACATCCATATTTATATTTCTATAAAATTGAGATTTTTAACCGGCATCAACGGTAAGAAAGTACAAAGAGTGCAAATAGGTAATTTCACATGAAGGAGGAATCCCATTTGTAAGAGAGTAGCCGTTGTTTCTGGACTTTCTGGGCCACTTTGCTTCCTTCGGCGTTTCGAGTAAATATGAACAAAACAACAAGAAAAGAAAAAGAAAAAGAAAAAAAGTGAGGGATTGAGAGGACATTGAAGAAAGCGGAGGAAAAAGAAGGTTACAAAAGCGGGGAAATTGCAAAAGCCCATATGCTTTTTGTTTGTTACACACTTGCACTTCAATTTTTGGTATAAAAAACCTTAAAACCCCACCACTTTCTGTTCCTCTCGTTCATATTTAAACAAATTTTAACAATCCATCCAGATCTTTCTTTCTTTCTTCCTACGAGTTCTTGCCGTCATCAATGCTTGGCTGAACATTCAACTTTTGGGTTTGTAATTTTGATATGAGTGTCTTTTCATTCTAGAAAAATGTTCATTTTCTTTTTCCATTAGTTGTTATATTCTTGTGTTGCTGTAGTTGAAATGCTTTACTCTTGTCCTGTGTTCACGGGCATAGATTCTTTTCCTCTCGCTCTCTTGCCCTCGCCATCCCTCTTTTTCTTGCTCCTTCTCTGCATTATAAACTGAGGGAGGGGGGGCTCTGTCTGCAGCTCGTTTTCTGCATCGATGCTTTAATCTGCTGTGGATTCTTTCTTTGCCCATAAAGATTTCTTGCCTTTATCTTCCCCTACCCCCCTTTTATCTCTCCTTTTTTGAGATGCCCTTTCACTTTTTAATATTTTAGGACTTTGGAGGCTGTTTAATGGCCTGTGTTATCAACAGTGGTAGCTTAACGTAAATTTCCATGGTTTTTAGTTCCATTTTCGCCCTCCCAACTGCATATAAATACGGTTGGTCAATTCTAAAACTCTTCATTGCAATTTTCAGGAACTAATTTGTGTTGCTTCCAACATTTTTGTGGAAAACAATGAGCTATAACAGCTCTACTGTGGGTTCTGGTTAGTTCATTTTCTGTTCCTTATATCCTTTTTCTGGGGTCTACTGCCCATAAACTGCATATGACTAGTATCTTTCATTTATGCATCTGGGTTTTTTCCTCAACTTTTTGCTCCATTATGTCAGGTAGTAGAACTGGCAGGATGACCCTTGAGTTTGGGAGGACCCATGTGGTCAGGCCTAAAGGGAAGCATCAGGCTACTATTGTTTGGTTACATGGCCTTGGTGATAAGGGCTCAAGGTACTAATGGCTTCTCTTCTTCACATTCTCCTCCCTGTTTGGCCAGCTTATTAGAGTTATTTTGCTACTTTCTAGTTGACTTACTTTGACTGAGGTTAACAAGAAATGTTGGGGGTACTGGTTGAGTGCAAAACACTCATTTTGAACTCTTAGGCATACAAGATGTGAGTTAGAAAATTTTCCATTCTAACTAGTGGGTTATTATCTGAGCAGCAGTCTTCTTTTTGTCTTCCATGCCCAAAAGGAAAGAAGTGGCTGAGTGAGAGAATGTCAGTGTCTTGTCCTATCTTCTTGTATATGTTCATATTTGGAAAGTTTGAAAAATTCAATATGCCTTTACTGGAGATTCTTATTCTGATTTTTTTTTTTGTATTTTTTATTTTATGGGGGAAGGTAATGGTACATAACTTAAAAAAATATGGCTAGTTGGCATTTTTATGTCATGTCTTTGATTCTAAGCTATATTTGAATTTTGAGGTGTTGCCTCTATATGACAAACGGATGAATGGGGACCACATCATGTTTTCTGTCCTTGAGAATTAGAATAACCAAAATCAATATATAATAATGATTTTTACTATAAGCCTAACTGATATTGGACATTTACATCATTAAAGGAGGCGTGGTCTGGTTTCTTCATTATCGGGTAACCAACAAGAGTGTGGTCCCAGTTTCAAATGTTTGTGACTCGAGACTGTTTCGATAATCTGTCATCATAATTGGCAAACTAGACAAGTCCTTTCAATATTGTGTTATTGAATTTTAGAAAGCCTGGTTGCATAAGCATATGTACCTAGTTGGAATGATTGGAATTGCGGCGTAACGAGGACATCTAATTTATTATTTATTTATTTAATTTTTTTCAGTTGGTCTCAGCTCTTGGAAACTCTTCCTCTTCCAAATGTAAGGCTACTTGTACATGGACCTAATACCCTTTATTTCAAAAGAAAATCTAAATCCTAGTTTTCACTATGTTCAAACCTTGATTCCATAAAGTTGTGTGTGTTGATTAATATAATCAATTAACAAAATAAATTACGAATTATGTTGCAGATTAAATGGATTTGTCCTACAGCTCCTACTCGTCCTGTAGCATTATTTGGTGGATTTCCTTGCACTGCATGTAAGATATTCATCTTGGAATCTCTTATTATTGATCTGGTATAAAAAAGCCTTGACTTTGACATAACCTAGTTAGGGGGGTATTTGGCTCATGGCTCAAGACTTGTTAACCCAAGGTTAATAAGTTGTTCCTATATTTGGTAAGTGGATTTGTTTAACCCAAGCTATGAGTTTGTTAATCTTTCATACTACATAAAGCCATGTCATATAAACTCCAATTTATGAAAATCACCTTATATACAATATAATATATATTAATGTATACAAATTAATAAACCACCTACCAACTACCAAACACAAGTTGCACAAATCTAGATTATTATAATATATTCTTTTGTGTACAATTCACAAATAGAATGCACAAATGTACACTTTTCAACCTGGGTTTAATAAACTTAGATTTATTAAAACTGTGAGTCAGTTATCACCTTAGTTTCTAACGTGAATGAAAAAACAATTTTTTTTCTTGGAATTGGTTCAACTCAAATTTAGTGTTATGAGGACCTCCACTGTTTCGTATCAGGGTTTGATGTGGGAGATATTTCAGAAGATTCTCCTGATGATTTAGAAGGCTTGGATGCTGCAGCATCGCATGTGGCGAATCTTTTGTCTACAGAACCGGCTGATAGTAAGTACCTTCTTCAAAAGATTTTTAACTATTCATAAAGTGTTTGCCATTTAAGATTTTTGTGGCTAATTAATATCAATATCTTCGTCCCCATTGTATCATTTTCCTCTTTCAGTTGAACTGTGGTTCGTTAGTTAACTTATATTCATCTATTCTAGCATTACTTTAATAAGAGTTATTAGTTTAACCACTGTGAGGTGTGAGTTGACCTAGTAGTGATCGTGAAAAAAATGTAAAACGACTTTTGGAGAATGGGTTAAAACCCCATGTGGCTACCTATTTAGGATATTGAAATTATATGAATGATGTGATAACCAATTGTTGAAGGTCAAACAGTTGTCCTAAAAGATTAGTTGATTAGTTGATTAGTTGAGATGCAATAAGCTTGCTAGAGACACTCACGGAAAAAAAAATAATAGTCATTAATTTTGAACTTGATCATGGCTAGGGAACTCCTTTGGGCCAATTAGATTACCCAATATTGTGGTGTCAAGGACTCAGCGGTAGTTCTCAATTCCAAACCCAAGTAATTGATAGATTTAGGATCTGGTTTTGAAAAGAAGTTCAAATATGAATCTCTAATACTGGTTAGTAGTTAGGGATCATTGTATTTTTTTGGGTACAGATAGAGATTTCATCTACCTTCTCAAATCATTTTTGTAGCTGATACTTGGTGTTTGGCTAATAAATTTGTTTTTTTCTTACTCTATTTCTGATATCTATGCAAATTGGAGGACATTCTGTAACAATGATTATTTTTCTCCCTTGTTAAGAAGTTATGTTGGTGTTTTCATCTTTCTCCAGTTTAAGTGACTCTGCTATTATTTAACAGTTAAACTGGGTATTGGAGGCTTCAGTATGGGTGCTGCAACTGCTATTTACTCTGCGACGTGTCGGATTCTCGGGCAATACGGAAATGGAAACCTATACCCCATTCACCTAAGTGCAGTTGTTGGGCTTAGTGGCTGGCTTCCCTGTTCAAGGTTTGATTCTTGTTGTTTTAAAGTATGAAGAGGCACAAATGGTGCATAGTTCATTGCAAAGCCTATATAGGTGCTCTGTTTTGTAATTACACATTTTTATCAGCCTTTTTTTCCTTTTGTGTTGTAGATCTTTGAGGAATCAGATCAGCGTGTCTCATGAAGCTGCAAGGCATGCTGCGGCTTTGCCCATTTTACTCTGTCATGGTTCAGGTACTTGTATTCTTGTTTTTGTTCACAGGGTTTTTTATACCATCTTGGAAAGATCTAAAATGAAGACAATGCCATGAATAAACTTCCACCTGTTTATCATAACCAGTAAGACCATTCATTTTATGACTCAAATACATAGGCCGCTGATGAAAAAGAGGCGTTATGTGAAGATGGATTACCCATAATGGATGCCTACTGAGCACTATACCCCGCTTTCCGCTCCATTTGTTTTTGGTCATCACACTGATTTGTCAGCAATCCTTCTCAATCTCATCATTGTCGTTGCTAGTTTATGAACCCTCTGACAAAGACCAAAGTTCTGCAGTTAAAGGCACTGATAATCTTTTGCAATTTCATACGATTCCCTTAATCCTAGACCGTTTATGGACATGGTAGAAGACCAAAATTTTTAGCTTCTCGTCTTTCAGGCTGCATAACCACTATTCCAGTAAACATTTGACTTGTGTTCCAAGTCTTTGGTTTATGGAAGTCGTAAACCTTTAGCAATGTCGACACTTTGATGGCTCAACTCTTGCTGGAATTTTTGTTGTTTACTCGAAAATGTACCTTGCAGTTATTATGTACCTTGCAGGTCAAGTTTGAACTGCCGCTCGGTTGAAATAATCTATTGCCAAGTTAAATTTGTTCAAGGTACCCTAATTACCATGTGAATCAACTTCATATTACATGCTGTCGGTTACAGGTGACGATGTTGTTGCTTTCAAGCATGGGGAGAGATCTGCACAGACTTTAAGTTCAGCTGGATTTAGAAATCTAACATTTAGAACCTATCACGGGTACGTTAGTATCAACTTTCTTGTGCTGCTTTTTTGTATTTCTGATAAAAAGTTACAAAAAATGTGGGATCTTGCACAATGCAGGCTGGGGCATTACACCATTCCTGAAGAGATGGATGTTGTTTGTAATTGGCTGACAGCAATTTTGGGACTTGATGGCTTACGGTTGGTCGACAATTGAAGTCGTCAGAGATAACGAGGAGGAATATTCTTAGGTTTGTAACAAAATGGTAGAGATGGTCGAGCGTAGGGGCGCAGTGTGAATGGCCATAGTTTTAAGTTCTTTAATTTTGGTTGCTTCTTTACTAAAGAATAAGCCCTTGCCTTTCTGGTTTCTGGTCTTTAGCAAATCTGATAGTGTTATGTCTACGTTTTCCTTTTTCTCCTTTGTTTTTTAGTCTAAGTTTGGGGGTATACGAATCTGAGAAATTTTCCAATGTTAAATTTAATATAAACACTGTTCCTGAATATCTACATATCACTAATCTTTTCGAAGAAATGTTGGATGGATGTCACAGCGGTTTAATCAAAGAATTCATGAATCAACCCAATGCAAACATTAACTGAAAAAACTGAACATACCCTCCTGTGTATTTACGTCTATAATGCTCCCCTCTCCGATGGCTTGGACTCACCATGGACATTCTGKCTTTATCACTTTGCTGTTAATGTCATTACAATCACTTCCACTCGAGTTGTCGGTAGCTCTATATTTGTTGTGTGCGGTGAGGGGCGGGGAGTGAGGCATTGACTTCAGTATATATCTACGACCCTTCAACCAGCTTGAAGAATTCTCTTTCCCAACCTCGTTTTCGCTACCTCGATGAAGAGACAACGTTTGATTCTTTGGAGAGTTTTCATTGATATATTTAATAGGCGTCTCACTTGCCTGAATCGAAAGAGTGTCGGGTGAACTAAGCCAGGACATGGAACTGCCTCTCGTACCTAGTTGGCCAATACGCGAAACGTTTATCCAACCCCTTGGCTTGGATTGTATGGATGATGTTGAAGAGGCTCCACCATTATCACAATTCATATGTTGCCACTGATAAGAACCGACATCAAATATGTTTGTCTTTGTTTCTACAAACAAGTCAGTGCAACTTGGAGAAGACGAGCTTGTAGCATCAAATTCTGGTGAAGGGAGACATCTTCTGGACACAAGCCGAGATTTTGAGGAATCATTTTCATGACTAAGTAGAGAGAAAAACGAATTATAAATGATTAAGATAGAAAAGACTTTCTATAAATATTCACCACAGTAATAGAGGCTTACTCTAAGTATTGAAATGGTGTTTGCGATGCAAGGTTGTGTTGTTGATCATAGAATTCAGAATGTGAAATGTCTTTCCTAAACGCTGCCGTATCTCGATCATTAATCAACTTGGCCTCAGATATTCCAACATCGGCTCTATCACATGCCACTTCTGGTGGAGTCGCACACGGTTCTGTATGAGATTTAATTTTTTTTTTTCAAGGAATTAGACGCGAAAGAAATAAGACCAATCAATTAATATATTCAAATTAATGCAGCACTTTAAATACGGTTCAGTGGATCATGTTCTAAAGAACTTTATCACAGTGCAAATGATGCCCAAGGAAATGGAGAATGAAAGAATTATAGAACACTGAACCTTCTTTCTTGCCATGGATATTTCTACAATCCTCGCATCGACATCTGATGGTGCATCCAACATTAGCCTTTAAAGATAATCCATTATTAGAATGTTTCAGAAGATGAAATAGTGATATTTACAACTACATAGGAATGGGTCGTAAACCTGATAGCATTCGCAGTATTGTTTAAGACACATGGACTTCTTGCAACTACACCCTTTTTTATGTCTTGCCAAGGATGGGTTCAATGGCCTTCCGTTCTCCTGTGGAAGTATCAATCATGAACAGCAATATAAGAGTACTTAAACAATCGAAATAAATTAAATTGACCACCCACATTATTTACTGTGAGCTCGTTACTGTCCTCAATAACCTTTGGAGCAAATGCAAGTGGATCTCGAGATTCTATTTGATGCCTTATCTCAACAACAGTTTGTTCATTCTCAGGGTTGTTAAAGCACCCTTCACAAGAACAAGACTCAGGACAATAGATCCCAGCGGCAAAACAATCACAATACCTGCGAATAAACGAATCAACATTTACAATAATGAAATATAGGAATAGGTTCAGACCTCATTTTTCTTAATATAATAATAATAAAAAAAAGACACTCACAGTTTCAGGCATTTTGATTTTTTACAGTTGCAACGTTTTGAATCATCGCCACTACTGCTGACTGAACTTTTCTTCCTGTAAAATTGTAATCCACTTAGCAGCCTAGAGAAAAGTAGAATAAAGAACAAGAGAATTGAACCGTGGGAGATTAATTTATAAATTACCTTTTCCTCTTGTGAGGAAGATTATTAATCTTCTCAAGATTAAAAGATGGGTCGTAGTCAAAATTTCTCGTCTCGCATGGAGTTTCAAAATTCTCAAATTTAACAGCATGACAGGACTGCAAGGTGATGGAACTTGTCGATGAGATGGACTTGCTTTCATGCCCCTCCATATCTTCAGTGGAAGATGAGACATCTCTTGAGCAGGTAGTATCATTTTTCAAGCCATGATTCTTCATAGCAACACTGATGACGCTATTTAGGTGCAACCCAATACCTGAAGGCCTGGAAATTCCCAAGGGAGGATTGCCACCAGAATCAGGATGCGGCAGTGTATGCAAGGAATGTAATGACTTGGCTGGTACCCTGGTGTTCAATGCTGAATCTAAGTTCGAAACAGACAATTCTATATCCTCAACCGAGGATGGATGCTGTGATGTTGCCTTAACGTTACTTGTAAAATTTGATGAGAGCAAATTTTTTTGAGTAGCATTTGCAGTAGCTTCTTTAGACTGAAGGTAACGTTGACACATACTAGATTGGGGTTGAGAAATTGATAGAGGCTGTTACAACATTCGTCATCAAAGAAATTACTAGTTAAATCGTTATGAGATTTTACCGGGCTTGAAAATCCCAGACATGTAAACATATTATGATACCATATATAGCATGTGAACTGCATTTATAGACTATATATAAACATGACATATGCCTTATCTATGTAATGTAACATATCTACTTAAATCTGAGGGGACATTTTTATGTGAAACTATTTACGCCATCTTCACTCTGGTTTCATGATTAGAAAATATGACATTTTAAGTATAAAAAAGAATGGTAATTAGCAAAACAGTGCATAAAAGATCCTTACAATGACTAAATGACAAACAACAGATGAGAATGGTAATTACTGCTACATACATTTTTTTTCCTTTTGAGTAATAAGAATGACTACTAAAGACTTTACATTTTAAAATTTAACTTCAGATATTGAAGAATTTAAGGTCTTTCTAAAAAAATTTATATACAAAGAAAAGCAGAGTCAATTACTTCAAAAACTAAAAAGATAGTCATGTTGTGAATTGAGCCACAAAAATAAGCTAATATTGTTTATCATTTTTCTATATCAAGAGGGTAGTAGAAAACATATTCAAAGAGCAAAATTTTCAGAATCAAATCTTTTTGGTTTCCTCTCGATTGCTCCCAACATGAAAGGAACATAACATATCGATTTTAGGACAGTGAAAGTGAACCTAACGAGTAATTAATGAATAACATACGAACTTGCAGGGAAATTATCTTAACAAAAGGAAATAAGTAATTATACATTCTGGATTTAACTAGATTTTCTGATGTAATAAAAATGTGTCATCTAAAATAAAGTCTATGAAACTGAAGGAAGTATTAAACCTGAAAAGCTCCATCGAGTGTTTCTTGGGTATCGCATTCATAGGCTCCATGTAAATTAGCATTGGATAACCGCTCTTGCAAATATTGAGGCATAAAATCCAAGCCATCCTGATAAATAGTACATGTATCCTGCATCTTCAAGGGTTCAAGGTCAATTCACAGAAGATATGGATCATTCACAATAATCTCTCGACATTAGAAATACTATATCTCATTTTCATTTTGGCATGAAGGGATACCAACAAGTAGTTACCTGAGCACATAAATCTTCATTTTCTTGTTTCCTAAATGCCTGTGAGGTTGACAAATCAGACTCGGTACAATAGAATGCAATAGATGACTGCTCGTTTTCAATTTCGAGAGGTCTACAAACTTCAGGTGCAAAATTTTCTTCAAAATTTTGTTCAGCTTTCTCACATAAAACTTGGATTATGCTCGAACCTGCAACCTTCAATATGACATCTACATTATCCTAATCTGTTGAAGTTCTCTTTAACATTTGTTTACTGAATGAATAGAATTAACATATAAACCTCTTCAAAATCTGCCAAAAAGTTGTCGAAAGGGCAGAGCTCAGTTTGTTCAGAGATCTTATTATTAGCTTCCTGTGATTCGGCAGCCAGTTCTGTATTAGATGACCGAGTCCTGCAAAAAAAAAATTGGTAACAACTTATCAATTGCACTATTTATCTTCATAGAATCAAAGAGAATGAAGGAATCAGCAGCCAAGAACCTTTTCAGAAGACTTGATTCAACATTTACATTCAAATGTGGAGAAGAAAAGACAAAAGAATCCAATCCTTGGACTTCAGAATCACACTTGCTAGGTTCTATTGGAAATAAGTGATCAACGAAGTCCGAAAAAGAATCCTGAAACCGAAATCAAAAAGAAATTTGATGACACAGATTACCTACCATTACACACACAACAAGGGAAAAAAAAAAGAACCACCATGAAAATCATTTATTATATACAAATCAAAAGCCAAAAAAAGAATCAGCCCTGCACAGGATAGCTTACAAAATTCAGAATCAACAGATTAACTGAAAAGAAAGAAAAAATGAAAAGAACATAATCACCAAGAAGATCATCATTAAATCATAGACAAATCAAAAGGGCAAAAAATAATTACCCCGACACATGATATGCCAATAAATTCAGTATCAACAGAACAATTATTACATTAAAGAAAGCTAAAACAACAAAAGAAGAATTAAGTGCGTGCACGATATGTTGATAAATTCACATTAAACTGAACCAATTACTGAACCGAAACGAGAAATCTTATAATCGAAAATATTCAGGGGATGATACAAACTGGAGGAGAGTCCGACGGAGAAATGGCAATAGTTGCAATGGCGGAGAGGTTGGTTAATGTGGAAGTAAGTTGAGTAGTTTTAGGCGAATCCATGATCGAGAAAGTTAACTTTTGTAATTTACCCTAACACAAATTCTCTCTCTACTGAAACTGATTATAAAATTATGCGTTATATCTGCCGAATTTTTCCTTAGAATTTTGATCTCCAATTAGAAGGAGCCGGCCAGCGGAGAGGGTGAGGCGAATTGGCCAACGGAGCCAGATTTTTAAAAGAGAGCGGGAAGTTCATCCGTGGACAGTCAACTGGCTACATTTGGGCCTGAGGATTGATTACTGCTGGCCCATTTGAGATGAAACAACCTCCATCTGCATCAATCTGCCCAATAATTTAACAAAAAGCCCAAATTGGAGCCCAATTGGAATGCGCGTCGGACGAGTACTGCATGATAATGTTACACGAGCGTCGTGGGGTTGGAAGAATCATGCTTGGTCATTTTCCACAGTAAAAGGAAGAATCATGTTTTTGTTGTTATTATTATTGTTATTATTATGATGTGTGAGTTCAACTATAAAATCTTTATTATTCTTCTCTTATTAGTATTAATATTGATTTTTTTAGCCCTATATATTTCTCTCTTTCACTTTACTTTGTTATTATGTCTTTTTGGAGTCCACCCGTCACTTATGAGGCCACGAGTGGGCCGAGTGTAGTATGTTGGGCTACTGAGGTTTAAAACGAAATGAGCCACGCAATTATAGACTCAAATTTTTGTGGCCCAATCGTAAATATCCACAGCCCATTTTGGAGCTGCACAATCTTGTCAATTTATACAAATTCTATATCAAACAATTTGCATAAAACAATGACAAACCATTATTTATCGAATAACAGTAAGTTTTTTAATCAGAGATTTTATCAAACAATATAATAAAACAATATGTTCTTATAAATACTTGAATTAAAAAGCTTAAAAAAAGAATTGAAAGCTGGATATTAATAATTATTATGAAGTCTTTCTTCGAGGGGAGGGATTAAGAGCTGTGAAAAGAAAAGAAAGGAAAGAATGAATAGTTGGGGACTTTGAGAGCATAATGTAAAAGATTTTGGAGGACTAAAAAGTAAAAGAAAAAAGGGGCAACTTTTATCATTGTGATGACGTTTTACTCCCATTCCTATATAATACAACTTCGCCACGCCACATGCCCACCTCACGTGCATGCAACCAAATACTTTTAACTACTTAATTTAAATATTTTTACCCCATCTATTTTAATTTTCAACCATACCTGAATTTGAATTCATCTTATAAATTCACCACATGATAAACTTCAATAGTTAAAAGCTGAAATTAGTACTTCATCGCATAATTATCCATTACTCAAAGTTATTTACTGTTTATCTTCTTAATTTAAATGGGCAAATAAATAATAGTTGCTTTAGGAAATTAGAATTTAAGGGGTTTTGTTTGGTTATGTTTTTTTTTTTGTTTTTTTTTTAAAGAAATTACATGTATTGGCCGGTAACTACTCATTAATTCTTGTTTATCAAATTTTAAAAACATTATCAAAATTGGTAAAAACAAACTTGAAAAATGAAAACAATGGATCGTGCTTTCTTGTTTCTTTAAATATATTTTTTTAAAAACACAACAAAATCTTCATTTTGTCCATTTTGACTTATTAGATGCATAAAGGCAACAAATAATTATATTTTAATTTGTTTTAATTTTAAATTTCGAGAAAACAACTAAAAAGTAGGACTAAAAATATGTTTTAGTTCCGTTTATAATATTTGAACATAAATATATTTTTTTTCAATTTAGTCATTATTATTTAAAAGCTTATTCACTTAGTTTTTTTTAATATTTTTCAAATTAATCCGCGGCTGTTAGTATATGTTAAAATTGGTTGGTAATAAAGTTAAATAACGATATAGTATTTAGTAAATTGACAAAAATTTAGAGAACAAAAAAGATCATCTTAAGAGGGGGTTTCTAACTTCTCCCTCAAATTTTTAAGAAATTGGTAAAAAATTTCGAGTTTTATTATTTTGATGACCTTTTTTATTCTATAAATTTATACTAATTCATTAAGTATTATATATAATGTATTAAAAAAAAATGCTAAAAGCGAGTATAGCTCAGCGATAATTGGTATATATCATCCAATCAAGAGGTTGTGAGTTCGATTTTCCTCCCTAACATGTGTTCAAGAACTAAATTGAAAAATGTTAAAATAGACTAAATAGAAAAAAAAGTTTTTTAAGGGATTAATTATATATTTNAAAGCGTTACTTAACTACTCTAAATATTGTTTCCCATGGAATGGTTGGGTAAGTACATCCCACGTAAGTACTTAAATAGAAAAAGAAAATAAAAGAAAAGAAAAAAACAAAGAAATAGTAATTATTTATGGAAGTTGTAAATTATATTAATTAAAAAAAAAGAAAATTAAAGGGAAAGAGAGAGAGAGAGAATACGTTGTTGGGTTAAATATGCATGGAAGCGTTTCTCCCAAAGAGAATCGAATCAGTACTCTTCCCCTCTTGCCTTTATTTTTGCTTTTTCACAGTTTGCTTCAGCCTTCCTTTACCATTCCCCAAGAACACAGACCCAAAAGAAAAAACAAAAACCCACTCTTATATCTTATTTATTATATATGATAAACACTAAAAACAACTTTAATTAAACATATATATATATATATATTCTTTTCATAAAAAATTTACCAAAAAGGATAGCTCATTATTTAAATTCTTTTAAATTTTTTGCATTTGTTAAAATACAAATAATTTTCGCTTTCCTACCCAATTTCAGAGATAAAAATTCAGTATAGCTCAATTAGTTAAGACATATATTATTATTGATTAAAATGTTGGAAGTTCGAAAATTTCAAGCGAGAATAAGAAATAAAATGAAATTGGAAAGAAGGAAATAAAAAGAGGAATGGTAATTGAAAAAGGTGTTGAAGGCAGCGAAGAGAGAAAGAAAAGATGGTCAAAATTCAAAAATTTGAAACTCCTCGAAAGCTTTTCTTTCTCTCTCTCATCGGCTTCGACTATCTTTATCGAAACTCTCTTAAACCATTTTTGCTTGCTTGGATTTTGAAGCCTTTACATCTCATTCTCATCTCTTCATTTTCCTCATCAAATTATTCAAATTTTAACCCTTCTTTTTATCTAAATTAAGATATTATTTAATATTACTTTCCAACTACAAAATTACCAGCAATTGCCATTTTTTTTATTTTTTTTATTTTTAAGTGGGTCCTCTTTTTGGATGAGTTATTCGAATATTCATTTTGTCTGCTAATTGAGAAAGTAGAATTTTTTGTTCTTCCTTATCCAATTTCAGTAGATTCAAATCCAAACAAGTTGTGATGTGTATAAATCATGTGAAGTGGAATTGGATTAAGAAATCCGAGGCAAATGGCTATGGGAATTGTAAAGAGAGAAAAAAAAGGGATGGTTTTTGCCTGTGTGTGGTTAGCTTTATCGAATTTCAATTACTCTCTCTCTCTCGAAAGATTATTCAAATTTAGCTTTATGTGATTCCATACATGGTAGCATCAAGGGAAAAAAAGTATTTAAAATTATAAATTTCCTACCATAGTTTCCACGTCTAATTTCAATTTGGTTCTTATAGTCTTTATAATTTTAGACGCTTTAATTTAATTCGGATGATTTGAATTTAGTTTCAAGTTAGTTATTATAATTTTAAAAGTCTCAATTTGGTCCTACGATTTGGTTACACCTTACGAATCATTCTTAAACTATATTTTATCCACACGAAAAATCCACCTATTTTCTTTGATTAATTATTCAAACGCTAGATCTTAATATAGTCGATTGAAATAATTACCCTATAGAAAACAATATCTATCTACCAAAAAATGTGTCAATGTGAAATTTATCTAAACTGCAAGAAGACAATATGTGGAGATGGGGATTCSAACTTTCACCCTTATTGTTAGATACATGTGCCTTAACAGATGAAATGAAAAGTAAGTTCAAATAACTACAAAGACTGAACTGAATCATTTAATGCTAGTTTGGATATAGCTCAATTAGTTATAGTATATATCTTTGACCAAATGTTAAAGGTTCGAATCCTTATTCATTGACATATTTTCAACCCATGAGATTGTGAGTTCGAATTCCTCTCCACTAAACTTTAAATTAAGAATATATTTTTTTAGGAAAAATAAAAAAAGAAAAACCTAAAACCACCCCGACTAAATGCTAGCAAAAACCTCGTTTTATTCTTCTCGATCGTCGAGACCAAAAAGAAAAGAAAAGGAAAAAAAAAAAAAAACTCAGTTCACCGATATAAAAGCCACCCCCACCGGCTCCTTCACCAGAGAGACGTGACCGGCCAGGCCATTAAAAAACCACCACTTCCATTTCCACTTCAACTTCTTCACGCACAAGGTAAGCTTTTCCGTTACTTAAATTCCACTTTTCCAATATTAAACCCTAAACTTCGAAATTGGGACTAAAAAATTTGCATTATTATTTTCATACGGCCGCCGCCAGAAGATGAGCAGGCCAGGGGATTGGAATTGCAGGTCTTGCAACCACCTCAACTTTCAACGGAGGGACTCGTGCCATCGCTGCGGCGAGCCGAGGGCCGACTTCGGCGGCGGAGGCTACGGCGGTGCCGCAAGAGTCGGCTCTTCGTCGTTCGGTTTCACCACCGGCCCCGACGTCCGTCCCGGGGATTGGTACTGCGCCATCGGAAACTGCGGCGCTCATAACTTCGCCAGCCGCTCCATCTGCTTCAAGTGCGGCGCGTGTAAGGACGACGCCTCCGCCGGTGCGTACGACGGCGATATTCCGCGAATGAGAGGCTTTAACTTCGGCGGTGCCTCTAACCGCCCTGGATGGAAATCTGGCGATTGGATCTGTGCCAGGTAGGATTTCCAATTCTTTTTTTTTTCTTTTCTTTTTCCTATTTTTTTATTCTAATATATTTTGTTCGACGAGTCGTCGTTATTTTTATATAAATGAAACGACAGATCGGATTGCAACGAGCATAACTTTGCCAGCCGAAGGGAATGCTTCAGATGCAATGCCCCGAGGGATTCCAACGGCAACTCACCATACTCGTAGAGGTAATATTAATTATGCCACTTTTTTTTTGTTTCTTATTTTTTTTTTCCAAAAATAAAGATCAGAACTTGTTTGATAATTTTTTTTATTTTTAATTAAAAAAGAAATAAAATTATGTTGGGTAATCCATTTTGGTTTCTAATAATTGTTCTCTGCAATTTTATATTAAAAAGAATTAAATTTTATAAAACTTAACTATTAAATTTCGTTGGTTTGAAAATATGAATATAGTTTTGTGAAATTTCTTAACGGGGTTGAGAAAATTTATATTTAAAACTAGAAATAAAAAAAGGAAAACAATACCAAACACTCATTAATTTCCATAAACAGAAAAAGTTACCATATTTTTAAATTGATCGGTTAAATTAACACAAACTCATTTTATAATCATTTTATTTTTGTGAAAAAAAAATTAAAAGGAGAGTAAAATACCTAATAAGCGGGATTTCATGAGTTATTGAATTATAATGTCTATGATGTATCTATTTATTTTTGAGTAAATAATGTCTAATAGAATTATTTGGGAATATTTTGCATTTTCCAGGTGGCGTGATGGAAGGAATAAATTCTAGCTAGAAAGAAGAGGAAGAGAGTTTCCAAATTCCCAATTCCCAATTCCCATGATATCTGAACGTCGTCGTTTTGTTTTTGTACCTCTCTTTATTTTTCAGTTTTTAAAAGTAATTTAAGTGTCTCCTTTTTGACGGGGGAGCTTTACTTTGGGAGAAGTATGGCATTATTTCTGCATGCATGCAGAAAGACTTGGCAGTAGCATTTTCATGAGGCCCCCTCTTGTATCCAATTTTCTAATTTATATTAGTATCCATCCTTTAATATTTATAATTAATTGGTAACTTTCACTTTATACTATGTGTTTGCCTCAAAATAATTTAAAGTGTGCTTCTGCGAGGAGTGTTTTGTAAAGCAGTGCTTTTACTAAATATACTTTAACAAAAAGTAGTTAATAATAAATCACTTTTATTGTTGGTTCTATATTTCAAAAGTATTTTTTTTTTATCTAATTAGAAGTACTTAAAAATATATATATTTTAAATTGAGAAATTAATAAATAAAGACAACGAAAATTACAAAAACGAAGAAAGTATGTCGAGAGAGATTAGTAGGAGAAATTCTTTGTATAGAATGACTAGTAAAATAAAGTGCGTGAGAGAGTGTACTGCAAAGATAAAGATTACGAGAGCCAAGCTTGTATGAATGTGTAGATAAGAACTATGGAGAGTATATATAAGAGATTAAAGATAAAATTTTAAGTCAAAAGTAGTAAATTAAACCATGAAAAAACTTAATGTCAATTATTGCCTATTTAATAAGAATATAATTTTTGGGGTTTTAGAAGTATTTTAAAACTAGAAGCCAAACACAAACATTTTATTTATCTAAGAAGTAGTTTTTAAGCGGTGTGACAAAAGTTTAGGCACACTCCAAAACATATTTGATCAAAGGAAGATCATTTTTAACCTTTGATCTCAATAGAGATATAAGTGCCAATTATTGTTGAGCGCATATATGGTTGGCAACAATTTTCTTTATTTAAATGAGTAGATTAATTTTTTTGAGACAACATGTTGGGGTGGGAGATCGAACTCACAACCTCTTAGTTGGAGATATATGCTAATTATCGTTGAACTATGTTCGTTTTGAATACAACGAGTAGATTAAATTAACATTTGATTTTTATACTAAAAATATAAGATTTAAGAGTCAAGAAGCGGATTTGAAAAGATAGAAGAAAATTGAAGGAAAAGAAGAAAAGATAAAGTGAGACATTATGATTTTAGAATGAAGATGAAAGTAAAATATATGGAACAATAACAAGTCTAATGTGGTCCAAACTCCATCTCCCACTTTTATTGAAGTTCCCTTTTTGCGTGACAAAATTAGAAAATACATCCAAAATAAATATAAGGTGCACTACTTTGTGTTTGGCTTCATTCCCCTTTATTAATTACCTACTATGGTTTGAATTGTACTTCTAAATTTGGGTTATATTCATAACCAACCATTTTTTAAAGTTTATCATAGTCTAACACACAATTTAACTTTTCCAATTAATTAATTCAAATTCTATACACAATAATAATATTTTCTCCTGTTTGATATAATAATAGTTGGGGTTAGTATTGGTGGGAAAAAATATTCTGAAATATAAAAGAGGTATATCCCAACGGCATCTAGCTAATTTTCCTTCTACAATATAAAGCAGATCAGGAGTAACAATAGGTTCTATACATCACGATATCAATGAATCTCTCCCTAAACTGCTCTTTAAGATACCATGACAAATGGTTATCTAACTTCTAAATACCATGACAATAGATTATGCCCTAACTAGAATTTATACGGAAATATCCTCATTGAACCCACAAGAACGGGCTACCGTCAAGCTCTATAACCTCTTTTTTCTCTCTTCTCTTGGTTTATCACCAGCCGTCATTCCCTCTTATTAATTCCGCTTCTAAAAAAACCTAACGGAAGAATTTTTATTTTATTTTAGAATCCCATTGTAGCAGCGCGATGCTATCTTTTCTATTTCTTTGGACTTGCGACAGCGCCTAGGCGCTACAAGTAGCATTGCAGTGCCAGCAGCTCCATTTTCCTAACAAATATTTCACCAATTATTTATTTTTTGTATCAAATTTTCGATTCATCTCACCAACTACCTCTCTTGTCGACCCACTTGTGTACTTAGCTTAATTATATTAGATGATTACAGCGAAACCATTGGCTTTATTTGGATTAGCGGATGGGGTTTACAAAGGCCAATTAAAGAAAAACCAATCACAAAAAGAGAATCTAATCCAACCTCAAACTCACATACTAATTATATATTTTTTCCTTTAAATAATTTGAAAGGAAAAAGAATTAATTGACATAGGATTCCATAACTTTTGAAGGCATATATAAAAAAGAGAAAAAAAAATAGGCAACCCCCTCATTTTGACCTCTCTTGGGAATGTTTTTGAAGTGCAAGAAGAGATCGTGAAATTGGTCAAAAAGTAGTGAGCACAAACATTCATTAGTGTCTGCCTACTACACTCCATTATATAGCTTTTAGCAAGATTCTTTGGTTTCACTTTAACACTGAGCTTTATGTTACTTCATGCCATATGCTCCTTGGCTTTGGCCTTTAATAATTTTTGTTGGTGTTAGTGAAGTACGTACTCCTCTCCCCATCCCCCACTTTCAATCATGCCATATGCCAACTACTTCTAGTTTTTTGCTCTTATGGAGTTTTCTTTTTTCTCCCATTTTCCATTTTCAGTAGCCATTATTTTTCTTGTCTTTTTTCACTAGAGAAATGAAAAAGCTACTACATGTTTATTAATCCCATATTAACAAAAAGTTCAGTCCTTTCATGGAGGGTAGGTTAGGAATTTTGCATTTTGTTTTCTACAATAACATTTGCAATTAAGTGTTCCTACTATAAAGATGAAGATTTTATGATAGTAGCATATATTAGAGATTTTTGTATAACACATTCAAAATTATGTCTCATCTTTAAGATGGTTAGTTAATTATATTAGGAAGAACTTCTACTCTCTATTGTTTCCTTCAATAAAGTCCCTTAAATTCCAAATACGTAGTTAATAGTGTTCATTGTTAAAGATATTCAATGAAACTCTAAATTTACCATATAACCAGTCACTTAAACTACCGATTTTGTTCGTCTCCAAAAGTCGAAATTCTTCTAGTGTCAGGCAACAAATTGTTAACCTGGTGCTCGATGTACATGCAACAATGAACAATGCCCATTAATGATTAGGGTAAGTTCTTTTTTAGTAAAACATGTTGGGGCGGAGATACAAACTCATAACTTTTGGTCGAAGATATATGTCGATTACTGCTGAGCTAATATTCGCTTTGACAAAATTATAGTATAATGTTGTTAATGAAATATTATTATAAAATGTCGTGTTCAACATTTGTTGACTTCGAATATAATTAGGTAACACTATTCAATCTCGAAAATGAAGTGTGCGCCGGCCCTTGAAACTTTTTGAAGTGTTTTCTTTTCCTTTGTTGCGAAAATCTTATCTGTTCAATCTAACAAAGCCAAGACAAGGTAAAGAAGAGCTCGTTAAAGAACAAAGGAAGAGAAGCTCTTTAATCATGTGCTTAAATGATGCAAGTAGGCCCCATAACAAAAACTATCAAAATCTGCATAGATAAATTTTATGGATATTACTAAGAATATGTTTAACAGATCCTTAAATAAATTTTAATTTTTCTATTCAAGAAAATACGTCTATTAATATTAATTCTTTGAAGTCTAAGGATCAAATTCCCAAAACCTGACATTTATTGTACTAAAAGGGACTGAGACGCATCTCTATATTTCCACAAGTAGTATTATATCATTTCTTTTGAACATTTTACTTTAGTTTTAACTTAAAAACATCTCATACCCAATAGAGATGTTGTCATTACTTATATATTACAAATGTTCTCATTCTTAGTTGATGTGATACTACGCTCACATTTTGAACGGCATTTAAAAACCAAGAGTTCCGTTCCTCTCAAATAACGCTATCATATATTATTATTAATTTCCGAGCCCACAAACTTAAGATTTTGGTTATGAAAATTTGATGGTAACTGTAATGGTCAATGGTTTCAAAAGAAGAAAAGAAAAATTAAGAACAACTTTGTTATCCGATTGAAAATCAAAATGGGTTCAACTTTTTAAAGTTCTCTCCTCTTTAAACCTTTCCTTTTTTCTCTCTATATGAATAATAATTGAATATACGAGAGGCATTTGTAGAGCTTTTTACTAAAGTGTTTTGTTTTCTTTCTCCAATCGCCCTTTCCTTTTCTTTATCGATACACCAAACCACATTATGAAAAATGTATCTTTGTAGAGGTCAAATTAAAAATTCATGCATCGCCAAGATTCCTTTTAATTTTTGAAGCAAAGGAAAGGAAAGTGAGCGTTGGATTTTTAATAGTGAAAGAAAGTGAAACTTGAAGATATTGAGAAAACCGTTGAGTATACAAATTTAACATCCGGATATTAAATTTGTATATTAAGAATTTGAAACTTATTTTACATTTGTAACAATTTCATTATTTATTTCATGAAGTTGTTTTTGTTTCAATTTTGTGTTATGTAACTTTATTTTGTTAAAGTTACATGTTGTTAAACTTGAAGTTATACTTCAAATGAGAAGTTTTTCTTCATGTTGTTAAAGTTGAACTTAATTCTTGTGTGAGAAGTTTCATGTTTAAACAACTATATATAGTTGTGATTTTCTTCATTTTGACATATCTAAGCATACCACAATTGGGTATTCTCCTCCTCCCACAAGAATTCTCTCTTCTTTTGAGTTGCTCTTCTTGTTTATGTTGAGAGCAAGTATCTAAGAGTTCTGCCAGATCCGAGTAGTTCGAGGTTGCAGTTCTATCGGAGTTAGTCGTTGTATCCTGCTGAGACGATCGCTGTAGTCTGCTAGCAACTTGTGCAGAGCGAATAATTGTCTTCAGGTCAGCGCTATTGAAGCGTGCCTCGACTATTTTTTTTATCAAGTTTTGGTGTTCATCAAGTTGTTCAAATTTATATCGTTTGTAGTCAGTTACGTTGTAATCTGTTTGTCAGTATTACACAATTCATATATACAACGTATATTTACCCAACAGTGAATACTTTAATTTATTGCAGACCAAGTTAATTGGCTGCTCCCATATCTTTCATTTTCTCATGTAATTGAAAAAATTAGGAACTCTCACACTTACTTTTTTGATGTGCCGTGTTTTTATTGGATAGAAAATGTGTTAATAAGATCTACTTTTCTTTTTTCTTTTTTAATATTAAATCATCACTAATGGTACTAATGGTGTGTTTGAGAGTTGATGGTAGAATATGAGTGGTTATGAAAAAAAAAGATTTAAGTATAATTGATTTTCTAAAATCACTATATCAATTATAGCTTAACAATAAATTTAAAGTGATTTTAAATTTATACAATCAATTTTTTAATTTGAAAAACATGATCAATAGAAAGGCAAGTGATTTTTGACAATCACAAAAGTGATTTTGGCCATGACAAAATCTCCTAAAATCACCCGCAAAAACCACTGGCAGGTGGTGGTGTAGTGAGCTTAATTGTGGCCGAATGGGGATACCCCTCTCCGGTTCGAGCCCTGCAGGGTGCACAGTCGGGGCTTCCTCCCATTTTCAGGAACGAGTCTCGCAACATAGGTTAAAGTGTTGGATGGCTGTCGACACCTCTCAATTATAGGGTTCCAATTGGCAAAGCCACATGACATCGATTTCGGGTTATAAAAAAAAAAAATCACTCCCAAACACACCCTAAATTTTCTTTCAATGAAAATACCCAAAAAGAAGAAAAAACCAAGTCTTTTTTTTTTTTTCCAAATTGATAGTTTGTGATATATATATTTATTACTGTTTTTATTTTCTGAACATTTTTCCTCATGGTTGGTTCAAAAATATTAATTTAGTTCATGAAGCATGCACACAACACGTAAACTATTATTATTTAATTGAAAAGAAAATGATCATGCAAATGTTTGAATACGAGATCTTCTAACTAGTTCAGTACCATATTAGATCACTACTAAACTATAAGCTTATAAGTTATACTATGTTAGATGACTACTAAATCTATATATATGCTTATAGGTTAATATATTACTATATGCTTAATTATCTATATATATATCATCTAAAAAACATATAATAATAAAAAAGAAATAAAAGAGATCGATGAAGGTATAATATCAAGAGATTTGTACATATACATAGCCTATGGGAAAATATTTAACAAAAAGTAAAAAAATTAACTGTATCTTTTTAACTTGATTGCAAATGGGTTATGACTTTCAAGGGAATTTTTTTAAATTAAAGAAAAGTTATGGAAATGGAGAATGCTAGTTGGATAGCTAAAACTTTCTCTCTCACAAAATATATGTGTAACGTCATTTTCAGAATAAAAATCATAATAGATAAGATACTAGACGCATTAAAATTTTTTTGGTATTAGAGATTTGAACCCACAATCTTTAAATCGAAAATAGGTATCTTAACCAGTAGAACTATACTCAAATTCACGAAAAATTATTATCTAAACATTAAGAAAAGGTAATTAAAATAATACAAATGGTTTACTCTTACACAATAAATCACTGTAACACACATTACAACTCATACTTTTGTTTTCAATTATCTAATAATATTTCTTTCAATACAACGATTATCTAAAATCTTTTAAAACCACTTGATGTAACATTGCGTCCTTTGTCCTAAATTAATTATAGATAAATACTAGAGTTTTTATTATATAAAATTTTTAACGAAAGGAAGAGAGAGAGAATATGACCCTGAACTTTTTTTTTCAATATTTAAAATTATTTTAGAATAATTTGAAGACTTAACTAACCATAGGATCTAATAACATGTTAAAAATAAATATTTTAAAGTTGGAAATTGCAGTTTATATAAAAATTGAAGATTAATATTTGAAACTTACTTATATATCCTTTATAATATGATCAATAAGTGGGCTGCTGAATTTTGTCGGTTCTAAACTTGTACAACGGACGCTTGGACGTGGACCTACAAAGTTAGCCCACTTAGATGGGGCCTTTTGTCATATGAGTATTTTAGACAATGAAGTATTGATTTTCTAAGGCACCTGCCTACAAAAAAAAGGAATATCTAGATAAAAGGGAATCTAGTGGAGAGAAATGATAGCTATATTATAATTGTAAAATAGATTTGATTTGGGGGATCAAACCTAAGTATCAATAGTAATCGATGAGCTTTCCAAATCGGTGTGTTTTTGTTGGGTTTGTAAGGTAATTGCAAATAAAGTCCACATTGACTAGGGAAGGAAATGATTATGGGTTTATAAGAGAGGACATTTTGGGTGGAACCAAAAGCAAAACCGTGAAGGCTATGTCAAAGCGGATACTCCAAAGAATGTCACATTTCCTCTTTAGAGGCATAGATAGATTCTATAAAATAAAGGGATAAACACATCTAGGGAGAGAAGTTTGAGTCTGGAAAATATGGAAAATATAGAATAGAAATGTGAGCAGTGAAAAAATATGTGGTCTCCCACATAAGACACACCGATTTGGATTGATACCCAAAGAACAGATGTGGTTGCATAAGACTACTTTTTTCATTGAAGAAACGCCACAACTATTTTATAAGCAACACCTTGTTTTTAGAACCGATTTGTTTTGCAATGCCGAGCCCCCTTGGGACTTTGAAAGAGTTGCAATGTTCCCTCTAACGAGATGGGAGCCCTCGTTATTGCCAATATCCTCCCAAAGAGCAAGGAATAATACAAAAAACATAACAGATGAATAAACCAAGAACTTATATGAACACAAAAACAAATAATTATATGAACACAAAAACAAATAATTACTTTGATATGAACAAATAATTACTTTGATATAACACATGCTATTTCTGACGAATAGATTATGAGCCCCACTGAAAAGAAGAAACAACTCACAGTAGAACAAAAACAAATAATTACTTTGATATAACAGAGTAGACGGTTTGCACGACAGTGAGGAGAATGGCGACGGTTGCAGCAAGGAAGGAGATAGAAGTCCATGGACTATTGAAATAGTCACGTTTCAGTGAAGCCCTCCATCGGTGCCACGGTGTCTCACAGTACTTACGTAAAGTCATGCTGATTTGGTTGTAGTAGTAAAAATCACAATAAACGCTGACATCTTTGCAGAGATTGTTAAACATTTTGGAAACTTCTTCATCATTACCACCAATACCGTTGGTGATGATTCCTGCCTTCACAAGTAAACTTACGTCTCTCTCTGTGCTTATCAAATCATCCAAAAATAAAATATATTGGATAATGCACCTCTCATCGTCCCCTACGTGGTAATGCTCATACGCCAACAGGTTCCGCATGTAGGTTTCAAAGGCGTCATGAATTTCAAGATGAGGGATTGCAAGAACACCCTCTTCCTCTTGGAAATGTATGTCCATAATGAGTTTGTCTTCGGCTGCTTTTTGGAACCTAACACCAGCCTCCCAAAGCTCGGTTGCAGTTGGGGGATTCACCAATTTCTTGTTCTCGTTCTTGTGATGGTCATTGTTTTCGGTCGCTATGGGAAGGGCATAGTAAAAACTTAAAAAATCAACCAAGTGGTTTGGTTTTCTGGCTAGCAGCCCATCGGGAATAAGCTCACGCGCTCCCATATACCATCTGCAGAAGTTTCTTGCAAAAACTACAAAGGGAATGGAATTCGTACATTTTTCGAATAGAGATACAAGAATGAAGAAAGGAAGTTGATTCTCAAGGAGTATAAGGTCACGATATATGTCAATACGTATGGCTTTGAATAATGCAGTTCCGGATTCGACGACATCCACTATCATCACTAAGAAAGCAGCATCCACAAGCAACAGTTTGACAAAGTCAGCGCTGTTCATGTTTATGGGTTCTGCATAGCACTGCCGGGCTCGGGCCTCCCAACCTCGAGCAATTTCAAATGCAGCATCAAATTCCATTCCTACCTGGCTTAGATAACAATCGAGAAAGGTGAGTTTAAGTCGTTCCATGGCCATCAACTCTTGTCGACCATGGTGAAAAGGACCGATGGAAATGGCTTGAGGCGTATACGCCTTATCATTAATGTTGTGTAATAGTTTGGAAATCCGGTAGATGCTGCATTCTTCACTGATGGATATTTCCACATGGTTCAATTTACGCCGTACACCTCTGGCCTCRGGAATATTCTCCAAAGTACCACGTAGGTAATGCGATCTACTTTCCATTTCAACTGAAACATTAACACATATGTTTCAGATTAACATGAGATACTTATAACTACACTCAAAGTGAATGTAATCATTTATACTAGATAAACTTAAGTTGATGGGTTAGAGTGAATTTAATTAGACCAATRAACCGAAAGGGTAAGTTGATGAGTTACCTCCAGGCGTCAGATGGAGAATTAACTTGGCATTCGATATAGTGTAAAGTGGACAAAATGTGTATATAGAGGGATGAGACGATTCATATCAATATTCATGAGATTCTATCTCAAAATCAATTGGTGATGAAAGRAGTGACCCACTTATGTTATAAACTTTTGTTAGGTCCCTTATCTTAATAATGTGGGATCCTTAACMGTTAATGGYTGTGCTTGTGCTGAGGAACTCCAATTAACTAATTAAATAACTAATCTTTCTTTATTTTTGTGTCTAAAATAATATGTATATTTTTTATGAGTTTCATAACATGTGATACTTTATAACTACGCTTAGTGTGAATTTAATAATTTATATTAGATAAATCTAAGTTGATGAGTTAAGTGAATTTATATTATATATCTAACTTCTTAAACATGATTAAACGATCAATGAATCGAAATGTTAAGTTGATGAGTTACCTCCAGAATAGGGAATCATCTTGGCTCCAGCATAGGGAATCATCTTGGGCTTCCACTGTTAACACATATGTTTCAAATCTCCTTAAACAAAGAGATGCATATTTCAAAAGTGAACAGAATGTGTATATAGAGGGACGATTCATTGGTTGTGCTTTTTAAAAAGGAACTCGAATGAACTAATTTAAATAACTAATCTTTCTTCATTATTGTCTCTAAAATAATATGTATATTTTTTTTATGAGTTTGAATAAATTTAATCGAYCCAACAAATAGAATTGTATAATAAATAAAGAATGAATACAAGACCTACCGTTGTAATACTATTTTAGACCTATTAAATGGTCAATGAAGTCAAAAGTTTGTAGGCAAACTTGAGGTAACACACGTGAGAGGAAATACTTTTTTATTGGACGAAGCTTGTTAATATTGTCAATGAATTAGAAAACGGAAAAAAAAGATCAGAATAAGTTATTAACTTGCCTGCAAATTGATGGAAGGATCGGAGATAATGCTGTTAGGGGATGAAAGGAAGAGTCAGTTGTGGGAAGAAGATGGTGTGTGCGTATGAGAGGCTATTGATTGGAGGAATAGAGTTTATATATTACACCAGAATTAAAGGGCAAATGTGTAACACGTCCTTGTCCTTCAAATTGAAGGAAAAAAAAAAAGAAAAAGAGAGAAAAGAATTGGAGAATTATGCAAATAGATTAGATTATTTGAGAACATAAAAAGAAAAAGGTTTTTAACATGGTTGATTTATTGGCTCGGAGGATTAAACTTAATTAGGAGGGATTGAGTTAAAACCTATGATAGTCACCTAATATATCAGGTTTAAGATTTGTCTCTCTCCTGCTTTATTGAACTATATGTTACTTGCCATTTTCGAATTTTAAATTCTCTCCCTGCCGTAGCCTTTTCTTGATTTACGAAAAGAATAAATTAAGATTAGGTTCTTTACCAAAAGCCTTTCCCTTCTTTTGGCTTCCCAATCGACATGGGTTTATTTCTGACGATTATTTGCATAATTATGTCCAAAATTGTTGATTCTTCACACTTACGACCAAGATAAGAAAAGATACATGGCTGAGATATCATTATTGGAAAAGGAAAAGGAACTTCTTGTTGTTATTCATTGAATTAATTGTTGAAAGTCTAAAAATATAAAATATGATTGAACAACGTCTTTAAATGCAAACTTTTTAAAATTTTAATTGTCATTAATATTAGACACTTCATAATCACACGCACATAAGTCTATGGCTTGTTTTTAACGGTTATTATTGGAAAAGCCAACAAAAATAAAGAAAAAAACAAAACAAAAGAAAATAATGAAAGAAAGTAAGAAGGAAAGAATACAAACACGTTTGAATAGGTTGTTGTTTGATATGAGTTTATAGCTCGTTTTTAACATAAACTTAGCACCGTGGTAATTGATACCCGTCCTTGATAAAAAGATTATGACTTCGAATCTCCCACTCTATGTATTCAAGAAAGAAAAACACGTTTGATATAGGCTTTTAATTGGTCCTAAATTTAGACAAGCTAATTCTTTTTTTTTTTTTGTCTAGAAATTTAAAAAGAATTTGATGTTTTGGGCAAAAATGGATATAAAGAAAAAGATTAATTTTAACTCCGAACTTGGCGACGGTGCACTAATTTATTTCCATAAATTTTTAATTTCTTTAAATTGCACCATAAACTTGATAGGTGTGCAATATTCACATTAAAATTTAAAATGTGTTACAATTTACCCTCGGGTAGATTTTGATAATTAGCGAATTTGTTGAAAAAAGTATTATCACATGTGTCAAATAAATTATAAAACGTATATCTTGGACATGAAATTGATAGGGATTCATAAAAAAAAAAACAATTTTTTTTTTAAAATTTTGTAAGTTTTACAAAATCGATTTTTTGCCTTCAAAATTTAATTTGAGAAAATTTTGATTTTTGTTAAATTATTGAGCATTTATTAATTAGTTTTTTACATTATTTTATTTGTTTAAATTAATGGATAAATTAGTAGAAATGGAACAAAAGGTACCAATTGCAACATTTATCTAAGTTTATGGTTCAATTTGTAGAAAATTAAAAGTTCTCGATAAAAATTGATACAACTTATCTAGGTGTAGAAAATGATTTCTTCCTTGATATAAAGGTTGGATGTAAGTATTTTTTTTATAAACATTTAAGTAATAATAAAAATTTGAACTATAATAAATCATTAGTTATGGTATTAGCTTGTTTAATTTAAATACTAAAAATTCTTGTAAAACAAATACTAACTGTTATGATTTATTTATACTTCATTTGATATTAGTTTGTTCAAAATAAAATATGATTTGTTATAAAAAAAGAAAAAAGATTAAATTATCCCTACAAATATAGAAAAATATAATAAAACAGCTATGATTTTATATATACTTAATTTGATATTTATTTGTTAAAAATAAAATATGATTAAATTATCAATACAAATATATAGAAAAATATAATAAAACTTCAAATGTTTTGTATAATTTTTTAATAAAATTAAAATTGTTTTATAAATATATATTCTAATATCAATTTTTATAAAGAAAAAAAAATTACTATATATATATATATATTTATTTATTTATTCACTTAAAAAATATATGAAAAGAAAGTTTTCTTTACATAAATATATAAATATGTCAATTTAAAAAAAAAAAGAAAAAAAGATGTACATTATATCATTATGGATAGATAATATTTTTATTTAATTATTATACTTATATCTTTTTTCTTTACTATAAATAACAAAATTTTATTATTTTTATTCTATATAATTTTTAATTTGAAATTTTTAGAGTCTAGAAGCTCAATTACAATTTTTTCTTTTAACTCTACTTTACAATGAATTTAAAGTTATTTTGAATATAATGGTTAGGAAACGAGCCTGGAACAAAATTTGTAGATCCGCCGCTACTTACCCCAACACACCTCGGACCATTATTTCCATTGTAGAGATATTCTGCTTGACCACCGTTAAAAAATTGACAGTTCATTATTTTTGTTTAAAAAGTTTTCTATTTTTGCATTTCTCTGACATAGTTGTTAAATATTTAATGGTGATTTGTCTTGAGCCGTGAGGAGCTAGATTTTTCCTTCCATTATTGCATCTACCAAAACAAGAATTTGTGGCTTTCTTGACCTTTCTTTCCCGACGTACAAAAATTCGTGAGGCAAAACTCTTTTCCCACATGAAATAAAAATCATCGAAAGGTACCTATTTCTCTCAATGCAATTTAAAAAAATGCTGGTAGGGGGTCTACTTCTCCCGACGGTTTTTTAAAAGGCGTTGGGAGAATTAGAACCACTATCCCAACGCTTTAAAAAAAAATTGGGAGAAGTTTAGCAATTTGACGTACTGTGAGCCCAAATTTCTAAAAGCTTTGAAGTTATCCTGACACTTTGACACGTAAACGAGCACATAGCTTTAAAGTTACACAATTGCGAACCTTTGCCCGACGACTTGTTATGAGTCGCATGAAAAAAACATCAGAAAAATCGAAAATTCTAAAAATGGTAAGCTTTATTCATATGATGAGAGCACTTTCACATGAGTGAGAAATTATTACAAACCTTACCAACAATACACCTAGCCTTCTAAAACGTTATTTAATTTTATTATGGTTAAATTGTTCATTATATAAATTAATTAAATTTTTTTTAGTATAGCACATGTGAGATTGATTAGAGATATAAGCCAATTACACTTAGAAAACACATGTGGGGTTGATTAAAGATATATGCCAATTAACACTTGGAAGTTAAATGGAAACCAAATGACAAATTTGTATTTATGGTGGCACAACCTAATTAATTTAAGTTTGGTTACAACTAAAGGAGCCATAATAAAGAATGGAAAAATACGTATAGGGTAGATAAATATGACATAATATTATTTGAAAAATCAATACAACAAATAAAGCAAGTGGTAAAGCCGGGGTGGGTTTAAGTTTTAACAGAAGGTAAGCAACTCAGTAGAACCAAAACAAATTAACTAAAAACGGTTTAATCACTTGTTGGGATATTGTAGAGCAGAGTAGAGGGTTTGCACGACAGTGAGGAGAATGAGGAAGGTTGCAGCAAGGAAGGAGATAGAAGTCCATGGACTATTGAAATAGTCACGTTTTAGTGAAGCCTTCCACCGGTGCCACGGTGTGTCGCAGTACTTACGTAAATCCAGGCTAATTTGGCTGTAGTAGTAAAACGAGGATGAAATGTTGCCATATTTGACCATATCGTTAAACAACTTCGCAATGTCTTCATGATTACCGCCGATATTATTAGAGATGATTCCTGCCTTCACAAGTAAACCTACGTCTTTCTCCGTGCTTATCAAATCGTCCAGAAATGAAAAATATTGTAAACACTTCTTATCACGCCCCAAGTGGTAATAGTGCTCAAACGCCAACAGGTTTCGCACACGGGTTTCAAAGCTCGTCGTAATTTGGAAACAAGGGATCTTCAAAACACCGTCTCTGAAGCTTATGTCTGTAATGTGTTTCCAGTCTATTGCTTTCTGGAACCKAACACCAGCCTCTTTAAGCTGGGTTGCAGTTGGGGGACGCTCCCATTTCTGGCCGTTGTTGTTTCCACTAATTGTCACTGTGGGGATGGCGTAGTAAAAGCTTAATAAATCAACCAAGTGGTTTGCTTCTCTCGCGGGCACCTTAGGAAGCCGAGCCACTCCTATATACCAACCACCGAGATATCTGCACGTAAAATATATACAAGAACGGCCACTACGTTTGAATAGACATTCAAGAATAAAATAAGGGAGTTGATTCTCAAGCAGTATTAAGTCGTGAAGTAAGTCAGTACTTATAGCACTGAACAATGGATAGCTTAACTGGGTTTGACTTCCACTGAATTCATAACCCATTATGAAGAACTCCACTAAGAAACATCCATCCACAAGCATCATTGTCACAAAGTCCTCGCTCTTCATGTCTATGGGTTCTGCGTAGCACTTGCGGGCTCGTGTCTCCCAATCCCGAGCAATTTTAAATGCAGCCTTAACGTCCATTCCTACGCGGCGTAGATAACCATGGAGAAAGCGGAGTTTAAGTTGTTCCATGGCCATCAACTCCTCTCGACCATGGTGAAAAGGACCGATGGAGATGGCTTGAGGCGCAAAGGCCGTATCATGAATATTGTGTAGTCGTTTGGAAACCCGATAGATGCTGCATTCTTCAGTGATAGGATGCAATTTCTTAAGCCTGTTTTCGATGGATACCACATGGATTGAATTACCTTGGGTCTCTTCAACTTCATTATTCTCATCCATATTTGAAATACCATAACATGCGTCGTCGTTATTCTTCTGTTGATGCGTTTCAATGTGATTGTCTTCCATTCAAGAACTGAAACATTGACACAAGTGAACATAAATGTATATATATGGAAAGAGGAACATAAATGTCCATTTGGCTGGTCCCACCTTTGGGGATGTAGAGCTTTCTAGCCTCTCTTCATGGTCATCCAACTCAAACTTATGATGTATCTACCATTTCTATCTCAACTCTAAAGTTTTCATAATAGCTTCTTTTTGTAGGTATGTTTTTAAGTTAGCTACTTCATTTTGAATAAAATGATTTATTTTTCAAAAAATATTAACAAAGTTGTTTCAGGGAAATTTACGCTAGGACACATGGACTCAGCAACTTAACTCGAGACCACCGAAAATGGTACACAAAGCCAACAGTGCAGGCCGACCTGATTAAATACCAAWCTTCGACCTAAGGATTCCGACCTAGGATCCAACAATTGACCTAGGGGCCCGATAGCTACAACTGCTGGTCGGAGCGGTTGTACGACCTTGTCCCCCTGCTACCTATAGAAGGGACACTCCACCTCATAACAAATGTACAGAATTATGCTCTGAGAGCGACTTACCGTAGCTCACATGATTTAAGCGTCGAAGTGTTTGTTCATTTTTTGCAAATCTCCCCTACTTAAAGGTTGCATCTCGAAAGCTCAAACTCGCAACCTCTTGATTGGAGGTATATGTCAATTACCGCTGAGAAAGCTTATAAGTCTTAACATTTTAATTTTTTGTAATTTTTAAACTTAAAAGATAAACTAGGGACACAATGGTCCCTCGTTCTACTATTTTTTTTTATTGGATAAAGGTTATTATATTTTGTTTTTGAGAGGATTGACCAAAATGAAGCACAATGAATTAAAAAAAGAAAAAAGGGAAGATCAGAACAAGTAACATGCCTGCAAATGGATAGAAGGATCGGAAGAAAAGGAAGAGCGAATGTTGTGGGAAGAAGATGGTGTGAGAGGCTATTGGAGGAATGGAGTTTATATATTACCCTAACAACTAAAGGACAAATGTGTATAACACGTCCTTGGCCTTCCAATTGGAAAAGAAAAAGAGAAAAAAAAAAGGAAAAAAGAGCTAGAGTGGAAGGAAAAGAAAGGAGAAATTATGCAAATAGAATAGATTATTTGAGAAGCTAAAAAAAGGTTTTTAATGTTGTTGAACAAGTTATAAAATAAATAAATAAAAATAAAGGCAGAGACGAGGGAGAAATTGGGTAATTTTGGCACCCGTCTATGACCATAAAGTCATAAGTTTGAATTTTTCCACCCACTTGTACCAGAAAAACAAAAGGGAGAAATTTAGAACCTTCCGTATAATATTTTGAAAATAAAAGATAAAAGAAGGTGGTTTTTGAAAGAAGCCATATCGTGGGGAGAGGCAAAAGAAAAGGAGAGAGGAAAGAAGATGAAGTAGAAAAAATGTGAGGGAGGAATATAGAAAAGAAAGGTTGGGTAAGTCGATTTCGACTTCCATAAGTCGTTTCAAGAAAAATTATTAAATCTGAAGTCTCTTCATGTTTCTCAAATAACTTTTACTGTTACTTCCTTTGGTATGGAGATTTTAGAGGAAGAAGAGGAGATTTGAGACTAGCTTCCAACAGTGAACATTTTATCTTATTTGTAGAAGAAGAAAATTTGATTGAACAAGGATTAAATGGTTAAAGTGATGGACTTAGTAAAGTGTAGTCTTGAAGTAGATTGAAAAAAAAAAAAAGAATGAGAATGGGAATATTTTTGGAGGAAGATCAGTCAGTTTTTAACATAAAGAGTAATGGTATGGTTGGGAGCAATGATAGAATTATTGATTTTGAAAAAATAGATTTAAGCATAATTGATTTTCCAAAATCACCATTCAAGTGATACCTTAAAATTAATTAAATTTATTTGGAGTGATTTTAAGTTTTTCTAAAATCAAATTTTTAATTTTCAAACATGATTAATGGAAAGAAAAATGATTTTGACAATGATAAAAGTAATTTTGAATATGTCAAAATCACTCCCAAATACACCTAAGTCATTCACAAATGAAACGAGTACAATAAAATGTTTTGCTACATAATTGAGATTGAAACTATAGTCAACCAAAAGAGTTATAAAAGGAAATAAGATTTGGTGTAAATTAAATATTATTTTATTATAATYAGTGATTAAAGGGTTATTTATACCAGTATTAAATTAATGTTTTTAGTTAACATGAACACAATTCAATTGGTTATAAAATATCTATATATTTTCGACCAAACAATCATGAATTCAAAAACATTTGTTGTACTAAAAAAATAATAATGTTTGAGTTAAGCGGAGTCGAGACGGCTTACGAACCGACTTTCTCACACCAAATAGTTATGTGAGTGGTTATTTTATAAAGTATTTTTGCTAATGTAGTAATTGTTACAAAGTACTTGAAATCATGAATGAGTCATATATATTYATGAAAGTGGTTTAGTCATTGAGAATTATGAAATTTTCAAGGAATTATATCTTTGATTATGCCTCATATTTAAGTTTATGATCATATGATGAAATTTTCAGGTTTTCAATGGGACTTCTAAAGTAATTTTAGTCAATTTACAGTGACAGTTGATGTTTTTGGGTTTTRCAGAGAATTTAAAGTGATTTTTTCATGTTTATTTGAGTGAAAGTTATTTTTTACCTTATTTACCATGCTTTAAAATTAATACTTAAATCATGGTGCAAATTTTGGACCCAATGTTCGTTTGAGYTTGTGGGCTTTGATACCATATCAATATTCATGGGTTTCATCTCAAAATCAATTGGCTATGAGAGAGGAGTAGTCCATATCTATTATAAACCATTGTTAGGTCCCTTCTTTTATCAACGTGGGATACTTAACATTTTATATATATGAGGGTGAGATTTTAGATTTGAACCCTTAGATATATAATAGTTCCAAATCATATCTCTTTAGAAAGAAGATCTATCAATTACTTGCTATTTTTTRTAGTTGACGAAACATATGGAATAGATAAAATTTTAAGAACACTTCAAAATTAAGCAAAGAAACACACGGASGAATCAACTTAACTAAACTTAGCAGTTCAATCAGGTTTAAGATTTGTTTCTCCTCTGCTTTATTTGAAATATATGTTACTTGCCATTTTCGACTTTTAAATTCTCTAGCTGCCGTAGCCTTTACTTGATTTACGAAGAGAATAAATTAAAATTAAGGTTCTTTGTTTTATCCCTTTCTTCTTTTTCTTTTATCCCTTCGGAAAAGTTGGTTGAGGACAATGATACCTCAAGAATCTCCGTAATTATATGRTTTTGTTTGTTATTTTTTTTAAGAAAATATCACCATTCATTCAAAAGGTAGGTAAGAAACATACAACAAAAAGAGAGGCTAAACGAAAGCACCCCAATTTAAGGAGACGGTGGAAAATGTCATAATTACAAAATAAATTTGATTTAGATGACCAAGAGGAAGTAGTCGTTCTTATTTTTTCTCTCGAGCCAAATAAATCAAAGGATAGAGCAAAAACCATTGCACCGACATTTTTGTTGGTTGAGAGGGGGTATTGATAAGCTGTTAGAAAATATAGCCGTTAGTCTCCTATTCATAAGTTAGTTAGATTGGTTGCTTATATAAAAGCCAATCCCTTTGTATTTTTGATTACTCTTCCCAAGTTAGTTAGATTGGTTGTTGCTTATATAAAAGCCAATTCTAAAAAAAGAATTCAAAGAGATTYGGAGAGATTTTGATGAGATTATGAGATTTAATAAAATAATTAAAAAAAACAACAAATAACACTTGTGTTGTTTTTATAGGGCCACGTGAGGGCAAGGGATAAGGGGTAAGGAGCAAAGTTTTTTCCTTTTAATTTTATCCCATCAAATTTGAGAATAGCTAACCATACGTCTGAAGAAAGGAAATTAAAAATTTTGTGATAATTTTTTTTTCTTTAAGATATCGGAACCATTTCATTCCAAGAAGGTAGGTGAGCAACATACCGAATACAAAATAGAGAGGAAATGACTCAAATGGAGAGAAAGGATAGAAATATCATATTATTGATATTATTGATTTTGATGACCACGTAAAACCAATATATCCCCAAATTTGAAGGCATAATTTTAGGAAGTCAGAAAAAAATGTTTCTTTCCACTCAAATAGACCAGATTAGCGAGCACACTATATTATTTTCTCTAATAATATATTAACTAGAGTTAGTACACTAAGAGRCCTTTCATCAAATATGTATGAAGTATTAATTTACCTGAGGAGATTGAGTATGACAAATAAAATTAAACAATAAAAAAGAAAGATGAAACAAAACCGAATTATTTTCTTTTACAACTTTTTTTTTTAAAAGTACCATTTATTGTGGGTTTGTGAGAAACCTACCAAAAGGAGTGTAATATAAAAGAAGGCTTAGAGAGAAAAGCACTCAAATAAGGGAAAAGGGTAGAAATATTGTAATTATAAAAGATGGGATTTTGAGGACCAAGTGGAGCTCGTAGTGATGATATCCTCCCAAGTGTGGTTGAAGTTTTAGATTTATCTGTATGCTCCAACCAAATGATCCGCAACTTATTGTTGAGACACTCGTGAATGAAATTGTCGATGTGAAGAGGAAAAGCAATGGAATAGTTGAAAATAGCCACAGCCTGCTTCTATTGAGCATGCTTTTTGGTTGGCCCTCAAAGATTCCTCTCCCACACATCTAGGGTTTTTTTTTTGTTTTTTTTAACCATGGCTATGATACCAAATGTTTAAGKACGATGGTATGATATTGTTCGCTTCGGACATAACCCTCACAACTTTACTTTTGGTTTTGTTGAGAAGTTCTYGTATCAAGGGAGATAACTTTTTGGTTTCTCGTCGAAAGGGAGATAACTCTCCTCATCTATCTATATCATGGATCACTTCTCTTACTTATCACTGTAGGACTTTATTCGCACACGTTACACATCTAACAATAACGTCTTAATTATTATATCTTCTTAGGATGGGTAGTTCGAATGTTGCAGTTAGCCAATTATATTAACCTTCTTTTTCTAACCTTTATTTCTTTAAAATGTATATTAAAAACTTGTTTTTTTTAATTATAGTAAATAAAGTTGTTTCTTCGTCACTAGTGGAAAAACCTGACTCAATGAACATAATAAACATAGGAACAATTGTAGGGAAGGGAATATGAGATAATTAATATTATTTGAAAAGACAATACAGCAAATAAAGCTAGTGGTAGCAACTCGGACATGCATATTCATGGTTTTGACTTGTGATACGATATAGCAGAGTAGATTGCTTGCATGCTAGTGAGGAGAACGAGGAAGGTTGCAGCAAGGAAGGAGATAAAAGCCCATGGGGTGTTGAAATAGTCACGTCTCAGCGAAGCCATGGACCGGTGCCACCATGTCTCGCAGTACTTATGTAAATCCATGCTGATATCGGCGTAGTAGTAAAAATCACATGAAATGTTRATATCTTTGCAGAGATCGTTAAACAATTTCGAAACGTCTTCATTATTACCGCCAATATTGTTGGTGATGATTCCTGCCTTCACAAGTAAACTTACGTCTCTCTCTGTACTTATTAATTCATCCAAAAAGTAAACATACTGGATCAGACACCTCTCATCATCCCCTATGTGATAATGCTCATAGGCCAACAGATTCCGCACATAGGTTTCAAATGCGTCATGAATTTCAAGATGAGGGATTGACAGAACACCATCTTTGAAACGTATGTCCATAATGAGTCGTTTGTCTTCGGTTGCTTTTTGGAACTCAACACCGGCCTCCCAAAGCTCGGTTGCAGTTGGGGGAGACTCGCGTTTATTGTACTTGAGCTTGTCATTTTTTCCGGTCACTGTGGGAAGGGCATAGTAAAAGCTTAAAAAATCAACCAAGTGGTTTGGTTTTTTGGTGAGAAGCTTATCAGAAATAAGCTCACGCGCTCCCGTATACCATCTGCAAAAGGTGCTTGTAAAAAGTACAAAGGGAGTGGAACTCGAACATTTGTCCAATAGACATTCAAGAATGAAGAAAGGAAGTTGATTCTCAAGTAGTATAAGGTCACGATATATGTCAACATGTATAGCTTGGAATAATGTATAATTTAAATTGGGTTGAGTCATAGTGGCCCATTGGTAATGCATTCGGATGAACTCCACTAAGAAAGCACCATCCACAAGCATCATTTTCACAAAGTTGTCGCTCTTCATGTCTATGTGTTCTGCATAGCACTTGCGGGCACGAGTCTCCCAACCCTGAGCAATTTCAAATGCATCCTCAATTCCCATTCCTACACGGCGTAGATAAGCATCGAGAAAGCGGAGTTTAAGTTGTTCCATGGCCATAAACTCCTTTTGACCATGGTGAAAAGGACCGATGGATATGGCTTGAGGCGTATAAGCCATATCATTAATATTGTGTAATCGTTTGGAAACCCGATAGATGCTGCATTCTTCACTGATAGGATGCAATTTCTCAAGCATGTTTTTCATGGATATTGTCACATGGGGCTGTTCAAGTTCAACCTCGTCAATTTTTTTGTTCAGGTCATACGTTTCGATGTGATCATCTTCCATTTCAACTGAAAATTTGACACAGATGTTTCAGGTCTCATTAAACAAAGAGGTGCATATTACTTCAAAAGTGAAGGGAATGTGTATATATATTGTTTACCATGTTAGAGAGTATTTTGGAGTTTAAAGGGGAGAGACATCTATGGGGAAGATGAAATTAAAATTAGAAACGTGCTTTAGTGATGCTTCTTTTCCATGAAAAAATCGTTGAGAAAGAGAAAGGTAGCCGCAGAGGAAAAAAAAAAAGGATCAAAGGGACAAACCCATTGAAATACCTTTTCTCTAGCCACGTTGTTAAGTTTTTATGTAACTTTTTATATTTAAGGGACAATAGCCCCCCTCATTCTAAAAATGTGTGGGGAGCGAAAACTTTAACATTTTAAATTTTTATATGAAAAATTTAAGATGAATTATATTAGAAGGACAATTGACCTCCATTCTAAAAAATTGGGAAGAAAATTAAAGGGAAAGCTAAAAACTTTAACCTTCAAGTTTTTTTAATTTAAGACAAACTAAGGGGACAAGACAATTGTCCTCATTCCTTCTTCGTTTGGACTTGTCAGTAAATGGTAGTATTATGGAAACTTGACCTAAAAATGGGAGAGAAAATATTTTTGAATGGAAAGCTTGTTATATTGTTTTTCTGAGGATTGACCAAAAGGAATCGTAATGAATTAAAGAAAGAAAGAAAAAAAAAAGAAAAGAAGAATGGAAGAGGAATAAGTAACTTGCCTGCAATGGAAGGAGATGTTGCTCCTAGTCGTAGGTAGATGATAAAGAGGGAAGAAATGAAGAGTGAGTTCAGTTGTGGGAAGGAGATATGGAGCAAGAGGGGCTATTTAAAAGCACATAAATTACTTCTTTTTTCAACAATATTCACGTGGGAGGGTAAAAATTTTCAAGCAATTGTGTTCATATTTTACACCCAGGAATCGAAGGACAAACAACCAAATACTTAATTAATAAGCTAGATACATACATGGTCGAATCCAATTTGCTTCATGGATTTTTCTTCTATCCGATCAATATTGGGAATCACAACAGTAATCTTTGTGAATTTACYTTTATTTTATTCTTTAAATTTTTTCTRATAAGTTTTCGAAKTTTTAGACTTTTGTTTATTTGATGTCTGTTTTTTAAGCTCAAAATAAAGCAATATCATATATCATATGGAAAGGTCAAATATCACTTCAATTTTAGTTTAATTCAAATAATTAAAAATGTAGGAAATTAAAATTGGTAATAATTTATAGTTATAATTTTTACTCTCTCTCAGGAAGCCACACCTATCTTGTACTAGTGATCAGATTGTTACAGCATCCTTTATTTTCTAATTAAAAAAATTGAACACCGACCAAACTTTCACTAAGGAGTAGCACAGCCCATATAGTTCACTTTTTTATGCAACAATATGACGGGTGAGTGGTGAGGTGGGTTCGTGCTAAGTTTGAAGTTAACAGTRCAAATAAGTGTCACATTGGTTAGAGAGAAAAGAGATCGTGGATATATATGCGAGGGACAACATTTCTATTGATATGAGAAATTTTTAAGTGATTTTAAAAAGTAAAGCTACGAGAAGTTATGTCCAAAATGGATATTACCATATTATTGTAGAATGTGGAGGGTCTATCGTGTGTGGATGGCTCCCAACAGTTACTTCCCATATATATAGTTTTAATTTTAACTCCCTACCTGATTGGCATATCAAAACCCAACTCAACAGTTTTATTAAACTCTCTTGTCATTGTTTTAGGGTCTTTTTCTTTTTTTTCTATTTAGCTCATTCTCCTTCCTTGTTTTCAAGACTAAAAGGGCAAAACAACAAAAATCCATTGTCTTATACTTTTTTTTTTCCGCAAAATAAGTTCACTTAAACACTTAGATASATACCTTGCTCCATTTTGTAAATAGAACCAGAAGCTTAACAACAACCCACCAATTAACTTACCAGCTCGTCCTCAATCTTCTATTAATATTCATGGGTTTCATTTCAAAACTCCATGAATATTAATATGGTATCAGAGTCCAAAAGTTCAAATGAGCATCCGGTCTAAAAAAATGAGATCCGACGATAAGCCAAAAAGAGTTACTCTCAATTGGTTTTGAGATAGAACCCCATGAATATTAATATTTTTCTCTTTAATTTGTTCTCTTTTCTCTKGGTTGGTTCCCAAAGGATGCTAAAACTTTTTCCTTTTCGTCTTCAACCCTATTTTTTGTTGGGTTTTGACAAAATATTGGAATTGAAGTTGTCCACATCGGAARGATACAAGAATGGTCTCCACGTGCTAAAAGTTGTCCTACATCAGAAAAGTACAAGGAGGAGATGTTTTCCAACTACTATAAAGGAGCTCATGGGCTTGAGTTTTAATCATTCCAATTGAAATACTTTAAGGCTGATATACTAGCTCTAGTTAACTGAGCGGAGAAATCTGTGTGATTGTAATAATTTTTCACATAGTGGATTTCTTATTCCTTGAGTAGGAGTAGGAGATTTTTTCCCAACAAGTGGTATCAGAGATTTAGGTTTGTAGTTTCTAGAATTTCTGAGTATGCTCTCTGGTTGCAGCATTGTCTGAACTTCCACATCAGAAAAGATTTCTTGAAACGAGCTTACACGGTTCTGTGAATAGTGTGGATTGTTCACTATTTGTAGATTCGCTAGGAGTGTGAAGCAGATATGTCATTCTTTATGAGTTCAGTGAAGATTGACGTGGAGAAATTTGACGGAAGGATCAACTTTGGCTTGTGGCAAGTRCAAGTCAAGGATCGAACTTCCAATCTGGAAGGATAATGTTAAGTGCCTTAACTGCTRAACTAAACACATGTCSGCTGCAACTTACTTAATTTAATGATAAAAAATGATATTTTTCAAATATACTTACAGATGTATTTAATATTAATGTTCAATAAGTAATATTGAAAGYTAAACTATAATAAATTATTACGTATATTGGTTTGTTTAGTATTAATACTAAAATTTTTTGTAAACAAATATTAAAAATTATGAACTTATATATACATAATTTAACACTAATTTGTTCAAAATGGAATAGGATTGAATCATCTATATAAATATAAAAATATATAATAAAACTTGAAATATTTAGAAAGATTTTTTTTTTAAAAATTAAATTTATTTTGAAATGAAAGGAAAAACTAAAACTATAATATTATACATATTTATTATTATTTTGCATTTTTAACTCACGAATAAATTTAAATTTATTAAAGAAAATATACTCTAAAAAATATAAATTTAGTGGATATAATAATATAAATCGTTTATTAAAGAAATAAATTTTCAATTTTTACAATTTAAAAAATGAAAAATGAAAAATTTTATTATTTCTAAAAAAATATAAAAGGAAAACAATTTTTTGTAAGTGGAGGTTGGAATTCGAGTTTCTAAAAAATTAATCTTTCTCCCTCTAAATTTTTTCATCTTAATATTACTATTATCTCTCCCTCCAAAACTTTCATCTCTATGTAATTTTATTTTTCTTTTTGTTCTAACCTATCATCCTCGTTGTCAAAGAGAGTATAACTCAGTGGTAATTGACATGTAACTCCAACCATGAGGTTGTAAGTTCGAATCCCCTTCCCACATGTTGTACTAAAAAAAACTATCATCCTCATTTTCTCTTATATCTCTGATATACCACTAACTAAATATGCTTCTAATTTACCACTTATATACCTCTGATATAACATTATATACCACTTGAGCTATGCTCGCTTGGCATATATGTCCAAACCAAGAAATTCTGCGTTCAATCACTCATCTCGACATGTTGTACTAAAAAAATTAAGCTAGTTATTTTTAACCTCAGTCCATTTATTCATGAACATGTCCATGTGGTCAAGATATCTTTACTCGATTTTATCGGTAAATGCCTTTTCCAAAAGGTTTTTAATCCTATACGACAATGATTTCGTTCGTCAAGAAACATCAAATTCTTTTGTAGGCCAGAGAGGAATTTCTCCCTCTCTCTATATATATTTCTTTTTAATTACGGAGTGGAGATTATAATCGAACTTCTAATTTTTTAGTCTAGTATATATACTTTAATTAGTTGAACTATGGAATAGGTATATTGACTAGAAAAACATGAAACTCAAAATTTATGAAATTTTTACATATATGTGATATATATATATATGTATGGCAAATAATTAAAGTCTGAAATGGACTTTTCAGTTTTTATATTTTAGGTTTATTTATTTAATTAATTATTTTGCTTGACTTTAATTTACCATTTACCATTAGAACTTAGAAGTCAAATTGAAGGCAAATGACAAACTTGCATTTATGGTGGCACAGCGTAATTAAGTTTGGTTACAACTGAAGGAAGGAGCCATAATAAACAAAGGAAACATACGTATAGGGTAGGTAAATATGACAGAATATTATTTGAAAAATCAATACAACAAATAAAGCAAGTGGTAAATGCACGGTGGGTTTAAGTTTTAATAGAAGTTTCATATACTTCAAATATCTCCACAATGATATGATATGACTCTCGGATTTCGGTTTCACCCAAAATGTCTCATACCAATAAGGATATAATTGTCATTATCTATATACCATAGATCAATATCTTCCCTAACCAATGTGAGACTTTGTTGCGCACCTTGCAACCCCAACATTTCGTTTGTTCCCAAGGATGCTAAGACCTTTTCCTTCCCGTCTTCAACCCTATTTTGCTCTCGGTGATAGAGATCTTTATTTCCTTCGAGATTTATGAGCCACTGATGAGAATGGCAGGTAGAAAAGATTTTTCCGTGAAAGAGTCAGCTTTCCAATAAATTTTAGTGTTTGAATATAATATTAATATTCTAGTTCATTTATTAAATTTTTAGCTAAATATATGTGTTGATGCAGAGCCACACGCTCCGATGCTCAAGTCAGAATTGGAGTTTTATGTAAAGCGTAGCAAACAGTAGAGATTTGTAGCCTACTATTTTTCTTCTATTTATTGAGAAAAAACATAGGGTCGATATATTTTCCTAAATCTAGTAAAATGCTGAACCCATTAGAATATCTTCTCTTTGGAATATAGAGTATATTTCCTAAATCTAAAGAAAATCCTAATGTCACCTTCACCTTTTGAATTCTTTAAATTGTCTTGAATCTACATAAAATCTGAAGCCCTCAACATATTTTATCTTTTGAATATAGAATATATCCTCCTAAATCGAGAGAAAATCCTAACGTCAAACCTTCACCTTTTAAATTCTTTAAATAAAACAATTTAAATCATAGAAAATAGGAATTTTTCCTAATATTTAGATATATATTTTTTTAATTTAATACCCATGTAAGAAAAAAGAGGAGAAAAGAAAATAAAGAGTCTAAGTTGGGAGAAGAAAGATGGGCAAAACGCTGTT